AAGCAGTTCATCTTATTCCGTCCAAACCTCTAGTTTTACTTACCTCAATAAATATAAATGACTTAATACTACAGTAATATGACTTCCATGGCAAAAATTATATTTAATTCCATTTATTTATTCCTCAGCTAGGTTTGCCTAAGATTTGAGAATGTTTATTCAAAATGTTTTAATGGATTCTAAGTCAAGTGTTTATATTAATCTGGTCAGTCAGTTAGTTATACTCAATGTATATGGCACACAAACATTTTTATCCTTTTCATGTTTGTAAAATAAGCAATAGATGCTGAGTACACACAAAGATTTCTGGATCTGTTCAAAACGTACTCCAATAGATAGGAATGGATCAGCTCACAAAGATAGTAAAAAAATACGATGAACACATGTGAAAGTAATTTATTATAGTTAGAATAAAGTGCCCCATTAGGCACAGTGCATCTAACATTTTGTATATCTTAGTTAACTAACATTGAACAATTAGCCCCAACATTTGTCTACCTTAGTGCTTACATACTCCTGTTACTCCCAATGGAGAATAGGCCGCCGTCCGTCAATCTTCAACCTACTCTGCCTTGGGTCTTCCTTATCAGTTCTAACCAATTGCTGTTCATTATTCATATACAAGCTCTCTACTCAAACATCACTGTTCGGGTGAGAGCTTATGGCGAACTGTTATCTGGATCAAACACTTCAAGTGGTGTCCGTCACGGACGTCCACTTTCCCCATTCTTGTTCACTTTTATCATAGACATGTTTCTATATATAACATTATCTTCGTCTGAACTTTCAGGAGTAGAACATCTACCAGGAGATTCATTGGTTGACTTAGAATATGCCGATCACATAGTCCTACTTGGTGAAGACGCTGACAAAATGCAGAGTCTTCTGACTACCATAAGCATGTTCGGGATGCGGTTTCCTCCCCCGAAATGCAAAATGTTGCTTCAAGACTGGGTTGCATCGGCACCTGAACTAGTGATAGTGAGTGAAGTAGTCGAACGTGTAGACCGCCTCACTTATCTTGGGAGTCTCATCAGTGCTGATGACGGGTGTGACGAAACTTCAGCACGGACACAGAACGTTCGATCGGACTTCACCTACTTGCCTCATTTACGTTGTAGGCAAGATATTCGTCTGCTAAGCAACGGATGAGTTCACTGAGCTGCAGTTCACTCCATCCTACTTTACACGGTGTGAAACAAAGCCACTGAGAATAAGAGATACTCATGGGTTACTAGTATTCGATGATGTGTCTTTGAAGCACTGCTCAAATATCCTAGGACCGCCAAGTATGCAATGCTAGTGTTAGGAAACGTGTACTAGGTGAGGATGGCAGATCAATTGATGAAGTAGTGAACTTTCATCAGTTAAGGTGGTTGGGACATGCGTTACGTATTCCCAACGGAAAATTGCCTAGACGAGCAATGTTGTCTGATGTAAGGTTAGGCTGGAGAAAGCTAGAGGCGGCCAACCTGAAACATGGCACAAATCCATGAAGTCATTGACAACTGTATTCAGCCACGTTAGTGGGTGTAGACAACCTGATTGGAGTGCGCAAGACGATAGTAACCGATAGTTAGAAACTGAATGATATGACTCAAAATCGTTCACAACAGCGTAGATGCACTCACTCTTTTTCTTCTTTCAGATTTTTATCTTCGGGATTCCTCATGACCATTTTTTTCTCTTTTTAAATTTATTTCCCCGCATTATACTTCTCAAGTGATATTTTCGATCCCTTATCTTCTCCATTACTGCTAATGCTTCTACTACCTCTACTACTATGGGATTTAGAATTCGAGTTAATGTAGTATGCCACTATTTATTGATTGCTCCCAATCCTCCAATTAGGTCAGAACAACTTAGAGGACATTGAAGATATGTTCTAATGCCTAGCATGTGCAGAGTTCTTAGGATATACGTGTTTCTTGTTTACTGAGTAATAAACTATTGAAATCTACTCTTGGAAGGAATGGTGTTTGAATCTTCCATTGACTCATTCAATTAAAAGACTCGATAAAGATCAACATATAAACCTGCAGGTCTTCTATCTTTAAAATACAAATTCTAATTTTAATTAACATTTATTTGTTTATAATTCTGATTGATTTACATTTTTACATAATTTTATGCTTTATACAGGTAAATGTAGAGAAGAAGGTGAAGCATGTAGTAAAACAGTGGGAACTCGTTGTTGTGGTGAATTACTTTGTAAATTATTCAAACCATTTCATGGACGATGCACTAATCCAAATCGTAGGCATTCAACAAACTGGTAGATAAATGTTGTCTTATTCCTTGAATGTAATGAAAAGACAATGAAAACTATCTTATTACAGAATAATTTAAATTCTAGAGAGAGAGAGTGAGAAAGAGAAGCCATTTTCAATTAGAATGTTGATTTCATTTCAAATTTTATTTTATAACGAAAATATGTTGCCTGAGGTGAACTGTTACTGAAAATAATATCATTCTTATTACCAAAATGTAGAGTAATTGTATTTTGTTATTACAAGAAAAAATACTGACTTCAATCAGTATAAGTACTGTGGTCCGTGATGTGGCTACTCGAAACTCTACCGATTGACCAACCTCAGATATTCCAGTACGACCGCATATTGTTTCCCGAATCCCCAATATATCGGTACAGAAAACCGTCAGATGAAAATTGTTTATGGGGTCAGAATGCAGCCTAGAACTTTACAGACAATGCATATTTATACAGTTAGGACGAAGGTAAATATTGACCAATAATATCAAACGACAAGTGAAAAGTCTGAAAACATAAGATTTACGTTTAACGATAGAATTAGACTTAACAGAATAATTATTGGGATATTTTTATGAATATCCTAACAATAAGACCTTGTTCTGAATAACCTGTAAAATAGAGACTTAGGCTAAATGATTAAAGTATCTCCTGTGTAAGATTATTATACTTCCCTAGTTAATGTATATGAAATCAAACTACGATATATGTCTACAAAATAAAATACTTTTATCAATAACAACAGTAGTAACGGGTCTCAAAAACCTCAACTTTAAGAGTATAGAAAATGTTTGCGCATTACATTGAGTGATACTAAAATGGCCTCAAAAAACATCAACCAAGGTAAATAAAGGGTTATGAATTAGTTTAAGGTATTAAAATGAGGAGAAAAGGTCAACAGTTGGAGTTAGGCATAAGAGTTTTCATCACGAACTAAAATCAACTATAATGTCAAAACTCTATGGGTGAATGAACTTCGCACAGAAATCGAACAGATGTTGTACTAAATCTGATCGTTTCATCCAAAAATTATATTCCCGAAGCTGTTAATGAAAAAGTAAAAAGGATTCTTAGGTTTTTAATAATAGTATGAATCTATTGGCGTATTATTAAACAACCCGATCCTGTTATCAGATAGTTTCGAGTCAAGATATTAATGAAAACGTTTAGTACCCCTATAATTCACACTATAGACAGACAATTTGAATATGCAAAAGGAGTGAATGGTTGCAAATCATACAAACAAGCATATAATTTGTAAATTCACTATTATTGAAAGAGTTAAGAGTATACGAGTTAAAATATATGTAGCATAGTATAACACAAATTAGTGTATTGTTTTCAAAGTCATCATATGTGACACGATGTGAACCTTTTATCTTAGTTGATCCAAAATAATCAAAAATGTGTGTTCATTCGAATGTCTATGAGTAAATGCTCTGATGTGTACTAAAATTCAAAAAAAACTATATCTTAGCAAAGCCAAAATAAACAGTTACAAGTCCGCTATCAGTTTTGGTAATTAAATAAGTAACTAGTATTTTTGTGAGTGATTTATTCTGTATATAAGGTTCCTTCAAACAAATCGTTTTAGTCAATGAATAACTCAATCACTGCTGGAAACACAAAAAATTGGGTCAGTATAAATAAGCGAAACAAAAATAGGTAATTATTATTCAAATACAAGACAAACAGACAGATGTGTAAATGTTACATAATCATATACACATAAGATATGATATCCGAAATGATCTCGCTTCATTCAGACACCTATAATGACATGTAATATTTGTTTGAAAATGGGACTCAGAAAATTTTTAAAACAGGATATTTGGATCCCGAAATGGTCCTAGACAGACCACCATTCTAAACTGGGAAGCATTGCACAACCTCTTAATCTTAGTATGAGACTCCTTATCAATCTGTATCAACCACCTCTACACAGGGAATCAAATCCAAGACCCCCAGTCTGGCATGAACATATAGCTTTTAAATCATTGAGCCAGCATTCAATGTCTAACTTTAATCAGTTCATGACATACTGCACAACATTCAACAATTACTTCCGGTCTGACTGAAACCCGCTGGTTATGGCTTCTCCCTAAAACTCAGGAAATTTCATCTTGAAGCTAATCACCAGCGAGCATATGATCATTATCAGCATAGAATATTGAGGATTATAAAATTTTCATAGTTTTCAGATCCCGAAATGATCTTACCTAAATCATGATTGAAAACCGGGAAGCGCCAAATGGTACAGCTGTGCAGTGCTCACCACGCCTAAATACCTCACTCCCTATGGTGAGATTAAACATTGATAGACACTAGTCCAGAAGCAATAAACTATAATTCAACGAATAAAAATGAATCTAAAGTATTATTGTACAATCACTCAGAGTGTTTGCAAGACGATAGATTGTCAGTGTTCTGGATAAACACGATTATGGTAAGTGCATATTCAAAGCTAGTGCTTTTCTTAATAGGAAGTAAGTCCAAGTAAAGTAAATAAAAGTGAAAAATGTTACTAACCCTGATCAATGTCAGACAGAGCTTGATAATAGTTCGACAATTTGTACTATTTTGTTAGCTTCAGAATTTTGTTTACTCAACCAGAAACGAAAATACCTTCATTTAGAGACACTTGTTGTTTAGATATAATTTACTTACTGACATACATGATTGATAAATTTTGGACCTGCTAGTTATTTGTGAAATATGAGGTGTGCAGATATTATTTATATCACAATATATTAAACCAGAATAAAAATTATCAAAAGGCTGAAAAAATAAAATTCTTTTATTTACAAGATATTTGTTTTAATTTCTGTACATGGTCAATAGTCAGATTTTAATTTTGCTTGAACAAGAGTAACAAGACGACGAGCAACTTCTGGATGCAATAGACGAGCAATGCGATTACGAGCTTTACTGCCTGAAGGATCGTTATTAATATTAGTTTCAAATTCCATTTCATAATCGTCATCTTCATCATCATTTTGTTGATCAGCTAACAAACTAGCCTCACATGCAGTAAGAACACTTGTTTCCCATACTGGCATCCCATTATTTGTTAAAGCTAAAATACAATTACGTACACGACAGACTGCAATGCGTTCAGCTAATATTTCCATTTCATTGACTGCACTTAAATCTGCTTCAACTGGAGCTGATAAACCAAGACCAATATCCATAGCTCTTGCTGGACCCGTCCAAACATATCCGTTACAACCGAGGATGAGGCCAACAGAAATAACATCATTAGATGCTGATGTAATAGGACCATCAAGTGTATCAATTCGTGGAATAGCTAGACGATGGCGATGTATTTTTTGACGCTTAATAAGACTAGGCGGAATGCGTAGAAGACAGCCACCTCCAAGTTTGCCAGTTCTAGTACCTGGCATATGAAGTTGTAATGTTCCATCTTTGTAAACTTCATGAACTTCAGCGACAATCAGGTCACCCTCCTACAAAAAAAAGATTGTACGAAAAACACCCAAGTGGAAAAACCAATGTCATGAGTGTACAATCAAATCAATCAATCAATCAACAGCAACGTAGAACTTCGTACGTACGTACATCAGTTCATGTTACCATACCACATTAGCACAGAGATGTAATTGTCAATTTTTACTACCTCTACTACTATTGGATTTCCAATAGTAGTAGAGGTAGTAAAAATACTAGCAGTAGTCGGAGAGGTTAGGATTATAAGATATTATTCAAGAAGTAGGATCTAGTGAAATAAACTTAAAAAGGTAAACATAAAGTGATGAAGAATTAAAAAAGTTTAGGATTTGAGAGAACACAAAGAATGAATGCACCTGGGCCATTGCAAACGGTTTTCAGCCATGTCATTCAGGGTCTCTTACCATCGATTACTGTCATCTCGCATACCACAACCAGGTAGTCGACACCTACCAACACAACTCAGTCCACTTGTCAGTGACTTAATGCATTTCTGCCATGCTTTGGTCTGGCCGCCCCTAGCTTTCGTCCAACCTATTCCTACACCGAAAAATATAGCTCGACGAGGCAGCCGGTGGTTAGGCATACGTGACACATGTCCCAACCACTTCAACTGATGAAGTTTCACCACTTCGTCTATTGATTTGCCATCCTTACCTAGTACTCGTTTCCTAATGCCAGCATTCCTTACTCGAGTGGCGCACGATACACGAGCAATGCTTCGAAGACATCCATGATCGAAAACCAGTAACCTACGAATGTCTTCTACTCTTAACGGCCATGTTTCACAGCCATAAAGTATGACGGAGCGAACTACTACACAGTACACTCGTCCTTTAGTCAGCAAAGGATATCTCGCCTACGACATAAAAGACAGGTTGGCAAAAGCCAATCGATCCTTCTGTATCCGTGCTGAGATTTCGTCACACACCAGGCCGTCAGTACTGATGAGACTACCCAGATAAATGAGGCGGTCTACACGTTCGACTACTTCATTCACTATCACTAGTTCAGGTGCCGATGCAACCCAGTCTGGAATCACAGTTTTGCATTTTTTTTTGGAGGGGGGGGGAAACCGCATCCCGAACATGCTTGCATTGTTGCTTATGGTAGTCAGAAGACTCTGCATTTTGTCAGCGTCTTCACCAAGTAGGACTATGTGATCGGCATAATCCAATTCAATGAGCGAGCCTCCTGGCAGAAGGTCTACTCATGAAAATTCAGACGAAGATATCTAGCAGCATGTCTATGACAAAATTGAACAAGAATGGGGAAAGTGGACACCCCTGACGGACACCACTTGAAGTAGAGAATTCCAACGTCAGTTCGCCATAGGCTCTCACTCCACCAGTGTTGCTTGAGTAGAGAGCTTGTATAAGGTTAATGTACTTCTCTGGTACACCTTTCAATGACAGACACTACCACAGAACCTCATGATCCACAGAGTCAAATGCCGCCTTAAGGTCCAGGAACACAACTATTGTCGGACACCTATATGTGTGTCTGTGTTCCAAGACCTGTCGTAGTGTGAAGATGTGGTCTATACAACCACGTCCAGGTCGAAAACCAGATTGGTTTTCTCGAGTCTGCTCTTCACGAGCTCTAGTTAGGCATCCAATTATAATGGAGGCTAACAATTTAAAAACTATATAAGTTAGACTATTCCCCTGTGATTGTCACAAAAAGACTTTTGCCCTTTCTTGTAGATTGGGGCAATCAGGGATTGAGACCATTTGGATGGGATTGTGTCCGCTTCCCAGACTCTACCGAAGATCTCGGTCAGTCTAACTGTTAAAACTGGACCACCATCCTTAAACATCCCAGGGGTCAGTCTATCAGGACCTTCAGCTCGCCCTCGCTTTGGATTTCCTATCGCTATTTCAACTTCATAAAGAGTCAGGGGACTTACATCGGTTTGCCATTCAAGATGACTGGAGATCGTGGGCAACCGAAGTGTGAAGGCCAGTTGAACTGATCCCTAAAGTGTTCTGCTCATCGATCCAATCTCCTGGATTGGGAATGAATGTTACAACCATATGTTCCCGAGATAGTTTCGCTAACAGATTGATACCTTGTACCAATCTCCTTGATAAGGTGGAACAATCTTCTACCCGTTAACTAACATCGCTGCCTTTCCCATCACTCTTGCTTTCGCTACCTATCACTGTTCGTGATCATTGCGTAGGCATTTTATCAGGTGCGCCTAAGCTGACTCCGCTCCTCATCGCACTCAGAGCCAGGCGGGATGAGCTTTCGTGCATCCATTAGTTCGGTAGATGCTACTGAAATCCACGGCTTCTCCCTAACTTGATGGTTTACCTTATTAGCAGATATCACTGCTGTTTCCACAGCTTTTTTAATATCATTTCAAGCTGTCTCAGTGTGTGTGTCACTTACATCGCTGCCTAATTGTTTTTATAACTGTTTCTGAAATATATTCTTAGCTGTTTCATCATTAGGTAGAACTCTAAGAGGTTTCCTTGTGATATTTTTCCTACATCCAGTAGGACGCAAACAAATACGCGCTCCGGAATGAGCGGCAGTCTTCAATAGAGCCTCTCCACCGATGGCTAATAACAATTTGGACTAGTTGCATCCATCGTTGGGTCGGCTTTGGGGTTCGCCAGGTCAAGAGATGTTTTTCCTTGTACTCAAAGTTAATGCATGCTATGAATAGGCGATTATCTGAGCATAGCTGAAGCAGACGGTCGATATTATGTGATCATTGAGCCATGATACCATAAGATCCACTCAGGTGTCTTTCCTTTTCACTTAGTCTACCTACATGAGAATTAAAGTCACCAGCCATTACTATTATATCAGAGCGCTTAACCTTTTGAAGGTTAGAAAGGTTCCTGTAAATCTCATCTTTTATCCCGTCTGAACTCCGACAGAAGCCCAGGAGGGGCTCCAGGTGGAGATGAGGTGGTTGTATGCCTTTATTCTGCCTAAGGTGTTTGTGTATAGGGCCTGATCAATACCTCCTCGATCGAAATGAAAACCAGCCTGCTTCGCGCGAGTCAGTCTTTCTCAGGTTTTTAACAATCTACGAAGTATGACAGCAGTCAATAATTTAGACGCACTCTAATAGACTTATCCCCTAATAGTAGTCACATAGATGAAAAGACCATTCTGAAGATAAGAACAACTATCAACCCATCCCACGATGTTGAAACACTCTCTAGTTGTCAAACGGTTGTAAATAACTCGACCAAGCTCATAGTTAGAAGCTCATCACCATCTTTAAAAAGGGTCGAAGGTAAGTCATCTTGGCCCGGTAATTTGTAGCGCATCAAGAGTTAGAGTTCCTTGCGGATCTCCGCCTAGCTGTGGGTCAGTCGTCACCGACCATGACGGACAAAACAGTCACACCGATGTACCCGGGGTAGGTAACCAGCTTAACTGTTACATCTTAGAACTAAAATTCCAGTGAAATCATCTTCACAACTATAGACTCCAGGTACATTATCTCCATAGGTAGCGCCTAAACTCCCCGGAAAGACCGATTGGAGAGAACTCACTCTTCCTCTACAAATGCTCTCGTATGACCATGAGTATACAGCCACTGCCAGGGAAGTCTTACTTACTGCATTCTCGTGGCACAGGTGTTGTTGACGGACTTAAGAGGAAGAAAAGCAAATTTTTCGGCGCTTTAACCGGGTTGGTGAGTACGGAAGATTCACTCGGCGGATTTGGAATACGCCGATTCCAAACCAATAGTGCGCATAGGCTCCAGGATTTTGATAGAACGAACAGTGTATTAACCTACTGTTGATCACCAGTTACCATGGGATTGCAACTCCTTACGTTTCTCCACTGTCTTGTGGATTAGGCCTGTAGGTCACAGGCTCGGGGTGTGACCCACTCAGAAAACTAACTGGTTCTACTTGGGCATCCAGGTAGTATCTTAGCCCACACACAAATCCAACTAGTTATGTGGTGCACAAATCTCTAGGTGTTTAAATTAAAAAATTGGAAGGTGGATAGAACTAGTCGAACTCATAGGGAGAATTTTAAGTCAGATGGGGGTAATTCATTTATGTTACATGACCAAAAATCTTTTTAATTATTCCTTATAGGCTGTAGAATATTATGACAGGTATGTTTTTAAAGAAAAGGAACGGATTTAAATGAAACCATTAGTCAACTTAATTACTAATAAGACTTCCCAGCATTCGATAAATATAGAGTAATTTCATACCTTCATGAAAGAACGCATGGCCCGTTCGTCATCTTCGGATTTCCGACGAAGTTCGCCGCCAGGTAATTTTACGTTAGCCAATGCTAAGTTAGCCAAGAGAGCAGAGTTAAGGTCCACACGCCATCGACGTTGTTCAACCTTGAATAATCAAGTAGAGAAAAATAGTATATGTTTTGTTTAACAAAACGTTTTACTAGTATGTACTCTGAGAAAACCTACCAAATACTATTTATCCACTACAAAAATACCTCTTATATAAGTAGACTAGAGCACTGGTTTAAGTTATTAGATTAAAACCGGCTTACAGAAAAACGATAAGTAGGTAACTTGCTTGATTTTAGACGCTTGTTCGGAAAGCCGAAAATCGAATAAAAATATGCTGAGAATTATTTTACATAGAGTAAATTATCATATTTTTGAGCAAAATTTGTAAAATGTCTAGTCACTTTTCCAATGCATTTTTTAATACTAAATTATTTTTCTACATGTTTTGTCTCAAAATCTAACAACTTGTATCACGACAGTATCTATATAATCAGTTTTCCTTAGTAATTTTTTAACATACTGAAAATTTTAATATTATGAACAAGAGCATATATAACAATATTGTTTTCAATTAGATATTAATCAAGCTTTAATACATAATAATATTTGGGTGTATATATCATTCCACCAATCGAGTTAGAGTCAGTCAACCAATCAATCAATCAACAGCAACGTAGAACTTCGTACGTACGTACATCAGTTCGAGTTGCCATACCACATTAGCACAGAGATGCAATTGTCAATTCAAATCCCATAATAGTATAGGTAGTAGAAGCATTAGCACTAATCGGAGAGATTAGGGTTCGAGGATGTTATTCAAGAAGTAGAATCTAATGAAATAAACTTAAAAAGATAAACATAAAGTGATGAAGAATTAAAAAAGTTTAGGATTTGAGAGAACACAAAGAATGAATACACCTGGGCCATTGCAAACGGTTTTGAGCCATGTCATTCAGGGTCTCTTACCATCGATTACTATCATCTCGCATACCACAACCAGGTAGTTGACACCTACCAACATAACTCAGTCCACTTGTCAGTGACTTAATGCATTTCTGCCATGCTTTGGTCTGGCTGCCCCTAGCTTTCGTCCAACCTATTCCTACACCGAAAAATATAGCTCGACGAGGCAGCCGGTGGTTAGGCATACGCAACACATATCCAGTTAGAGTCAGTAATAAAAGTGAAATAAATTACAACACATAAGCATAAGAAGTAAACGATACAAATTGATAATATGATGACCGGTGTGCTGGTTGAGATAAGAATAATAAATACTTGAATCAATAATTCATTACAGGAAGTAGTTCAAACAACTTCGGATGTTAAACTCTGAAATAGCACCCATTAAAATTATAAAACTATATAATAAGAAATTTCCAAACAGCTGAATGGTAGAATGCATGTTTAAAGTAGTATTTTATAACCAAAACAGTGTAACTATGGCCATTATAAAAAAGTTCCTGGTATTATGGGATTGTGTTGAGCCAACAGTAATATGAGCAGAGATAATACAGAATTACTTGCAATTTCTACTCTTCTTAAAGCTTTGAATGAAACCAATTTATGAGTAAAGTGTAACTATGAAACATGAGGTTTACAGCACTTACTGTTTATTACTAGCCTATGAGTAGAAATATGGACGTCTAGAACTGTTAAGTCGTACTAAACGACTGCACATGATTCACATGAACGAAGAGTGTAAACATGTTTCACGAAATGAGGCGAACTTCAAAGCTGCCGTATGAAGATAGGCTGGCTTAACTTAACCTAATTTCCTTGTCACACAGAAGATCAGAGGTTACTTAGTCACAGTTTTTAAATTACTTTATGGTAAATTTGCACGACACCCTTATTTTTCCTAGCTTCCAATATAAAGGATTTACGAGGACAGATTAAAAGATTTGCAAGCCCTGGAATGAATTACTGATTAGCTGATTATTGACTTTCTCACGGAATCATTTACGAATGGAACTTGTTACCTAAACACGTTATCGAAGATCCATCTGTTGACGCCTTCAAAAGAAAGTTGGATCAACTGAGAGATCATTATTGCCAGGACTAACAGACCACTTAGCTTCCTATCCTTTCCAAACTGAATCTGAAAATAACTTTAAAACCAACTTATTAGGATCTCAGTCAATTGTTTCATGATTAGTAACCAGAACAATGGAACCATCGGATTTACTTCAATTAACTAACAAATTATCAACGAATTTGGTCATAACAAAAACTTTCAATGCCTCACACCCATAAGATGCTTTTATGGACAAAATTTACCAGTGAGTTGCCTCACCAAAGTCATGAAACTAACCTCTACAATGCGGCCAACTACAGTATCTCCAACATTACCGGAATACCGGGCTTTAGGTGGTTCGACATACACAAGTTTATTAACTATCCTAACACGCCCAGTTAAAGAAGTGTGTATATTGCTAGCCTGTATTCCTGGATCTCCGTTAACAGATGGCGAAGTGTGTGGATTAACAACTGAGGACAAATTTTCATCGTCATTTTCGGATGAAACAGCTACGCTTCTATAGGTCCCATGGCCAGTTATAAGATTTGAGACAGAAGAAAAAACTATCTCTCCAGGTACAACAGCGGAACCCTGCTGAATCCTTGGACCCTCTGGCTGACCTTGCGAAACGTAGTCAACGGAATGCCTTTCAGGAGCGGCAACTGCTGGATACATGTAGATTGGCATTTTTGGCGACTAGGTTATATGCACAGCAGTATATAACTTGTTACTTTAGTTTTTGTGGCGCGTAACTCGTTTCTGGTGAGTTTGTGTTTAGCTTGAAGGCACCTTGTGTGCCGAGGGAATGTGAAGAACAGTATGTCAGGTTATCTGGAAGAAAAAAGAACAGGAGAAAAGGTGAGCCGATTACTCAGTAAGCACACAGAATGCAACTACTGTTAATATAGAAAACGGATAACAGCAATCAGACATAAACAAGGCCTGAGATTAAGACTAACTAATAATCGGAACCACAAGTTGGTAGCGCAAAGTTTTGATTGCGTTGCATCAAACAGACAGATCTTACCATCACTGCACGACCTTCAAATGTTCTTGTAGGTCAGTCCAATATATATCTAGTATCCAGTATCTTTTTCATGAGCTAGTATAAACTAATTGATTTACTTTCTCCCGATTCTTTTTATTTCCATACGGTTCCAAGTGTTTAGCAGTGTCCAATAAATGGGGGTCTAGCCACTCGACTACCTAATCCCAGTCATTTGGCAGTTGTTGGTTAATTTGTATGTCCCGTGATTTAAATGAATACGTTTGTTTCAGGTCGGCAGGCCTTCTCGATAACAGTAGCCATCACGTTAGCAGGCTGGAAATCAGTTAGTTGCAATGTGGATAATAATAAGGGGAAAATTCTAATGCTAATAAGAAGAGGATTTCAGAACTAAGTAATACAGAGATAATTTAGTTTATTAATTGGTAGTGAAGATTGTGAGAGAGGACCGAATTGCAAGCAAGGGAGAGGAAACAGATAATAGGGGAGATAGATTAAGTTGGTGATCTGAGGAGATGTCAATGATAACAACTAGCAGGTCTCAAAACATGTATCAGGTACAGCTTGTCCACGAGGGAGATGATAATCCGTATATAAGTATATGTTTATCAAGCCTCTTCCTAAAGCTGTCCACTGAGAGAGCTGTGCTAACCTAGGTGCAGAGACTCTTAATGAGAAAAAGTGTTCACGAGCCCGAGTATTCATTCTTCAATGCGCAATTTTTCGAGGATTATTTTGTGGGTGAATGGTAACGATGCATTCACAAGATGCTCACCTTGAGGTGGTTTTGCCATTTAATATGTTGTACGCCACTATCGGATCACCTCTGATTCTCCTGTAATTCAGAGGTAATAATCCCAAGTGCTGAAGTCTGTGTTCGTAAGTTTTATTCTTCAACCCCATCACCCATTTCGTTGCTCAGCTCAGCACTCGATCCAAGAGATTTATGTCTCTTTTAAGCATAGGGGGTGTGACGATATTGTGAACCTCAAGGTGTGGGCGTGCATACGTCTTTAACAGCGTCAAGAATAATTCTGAGGTGATAGCACCAAGGTGTCTTCTTATAAAGTGAAGAGTTGCATGTGCTTTTCTGAGTCCCCTATATAGTTCTTTTAAGTTCTCTACTTGAGTAACGCCAAACCACTGTACAAATGACAACACCGAACGTTAGACTCCCAACGTTCAAAAATAAAAAGACGGAAGACGTTGGAGTGCACTTATTAACGGAATCAAAAATATACAATAAAACATGCGTATTTATACAATTATATATATAATCGATATTGTCCTTAAAATATTTAAACATTAATCAAACAGTTCGTCGATCGACTGCCCTTGAAATATTTAAACACTTAATCGATAAGTTCGTCAATCGACCATGTGCGTGGGTGGCTTCTCGATGGCTATCCCAACAATTTCGAACTGGTGTGGAGGTTTCCGGTGGTTATTAATCCGAGATCGCGCTCTGAGGAGATATTACTAAGCGGACTTCCACTGAGGGTGTAAATCGTTTACGTCATGTGGGGCAGGATCTGAATGACGTGACATTCTGGCGGTTAGTTTCAACCTGTTTTTCACTGCCCATTCCTCAATGAAGGTAAGGTCATCTTGAAGCTCAGTCGGATCCTCTTCGCTTCTAATGGACCTTCAGATCTTTGCATAGTCAGCGTAGATCAATGCCGGTGAGCTAACTGTGTCTAACAGGTCGTTAAACAATATCAGGAAGAGAAGTTGACCTAAAATGGTTCCCTGTGAAACTTCCGACTCTGAGACTTGCCAATTCGCGTACATTCCGTTCACACTGGTGCGGAAATCTCTATTCTCAAGGTAGTAGGTCAGCATAGTCCATTTCCCTAACCTTCGCAATTAAGAGTGGGTGAGGTACTGTGACAAAGGCTTTTGCAATGTCAAGAAATATTACGCGCACTGGTGTTTTTTGGTCTCAGCAGGATGTCCAACTATCCCATGATATGAAACTACTGGATGGTCACTACCTGAGTTTCCAAAACCACGTTGAGCTTCACGGAGGATTTTGTTCTTATCCATGTACCTCCGATAGTAGCTTGTTTCCGTTCAGCTGGTAGATAGTGTGATTCCAGTGAATGCTAAAACAAGAAAGATATCGGTGAACTGAATGAGTCAGATATTTCTCAGTTCATCAACTAGGTTGTCTAGTACTTTGAATGCGTAGATACTTGGTGTAAGTGATAGGTGAAGTTGGTATTGAAGATCTCGGCCATTTCCAGGTGGGTAAGATCTTCACCAATTGAACCTTTGAGAGCACAGACTCCCTGGATTGTAGGTTTTCTTTTTGTCATGAACCTAAACAGATGCCCAGGGTTTTCCTGTAATTGGACAGCTAGCTTCATCTGAGAGCATCTGCTATCACTTCGAAATTTGGCATTGCATCCGTTTCTCAATGCCAAGTAAGAACTACTGTGGGAATCCTTCAAAAATACCTTAAAATTGTACCAGGATATCTTTTCGGCTGTGTTTCGTTTATGACCGTCTTGAACAAGACTGTGCCATGGTCACTACTTCCTATCGGTGTATAGACATGAGCGTCCTCAACCAGGAGATGATCATTTGTTAAAAAATAATCCAGGTTTAGGGAATCTCCATCCTTAGCCCACCTAGTGGCACTGCGTACGTGCTCAGTAAGCCCAGGGCTTCTAAGGGCTGCGCCAAGTCGTCTTTGGAACCAGCCAGTTGGAGTTGTACCCTGACTGCGAGGTCTACAGATGGGGTGTTGATATCTCCAGCTAAGAGCATTTGATCAAATCCCAGGAGTGGCAGCTGCAGTATTGCCTCAGTAAGTTTGTCTTTCTGGGGCTTAGAACCTGAGGGAGGTGTGTAAATAGATATAGCCTACAACATCAAGTGATTGTTTTGACGGCAATCCGCGGAGTTGTACAATATATTGCAAAGCCAACACATATTGACTTACGAGCATGTCTTCACACACCACTGTGATGATATCATCGACACTCGGCACCTGTCCCACAAGCAATCAGTGATCACAGTCTACTTTACCTCTCGTTTCGGACACAAAATAAGCCATATATCTGCTCCAATACACCCTAATATCCGGCAGGTTAACATTCCGGCAATGAAGGACCATGCTATCCTAGCAGATTAGTCATTTAATGTAGACGGCTCTGTCTAAGACGCTTCAAATATGTTTAAAGCTATATTCCAGTCTGGAACAATACTGTTCATCCCTTTCTATATATAATTAAAGTGACCGACCTGTTGGCTTAACCAGCGTAACAATAAACTTACTTGAAAAAAAGCCCGAACTAAGTTTTTAAGACGCGTATTTTTATATAATCTGTTGACTCCTTAGCAATATGTGTTTCGTAATAAGCATTCATGTCTAACCTACAAAATGTGTGAGAAGATTCGACTGCACCTAATTAAATTGTTAGTCAGCATTTGATAAGGTGTCCCATTCAGATCTTCTGCAGAAACTATTGTGCTTTAAAATAACAAGTGACGTACAGGAGTGGATAATAAAACTCCCGCCTAGCCGAAGAAGCAAGCTGAGGGTAACTGGGACAGTATCGGAATGAAAGCGATGTGACACAAGACACCATTTTAAGTTACTTGATCTTTATTCTCTACGTCAATTGATTGCCGAGGCTGTTTTAATAGCCGACATTTTTGTCTGCAGATGATGAAGATATGTAATAAGACTATTCATCCTAATCTACAAACTGACTGACATGAATTAATGCACATGTAAGAGGGCAGTAGTTGCCAGTATACTCTCAATGGTACATTGCTTCCACTCATGTATCAATGAACAGACTTAGGGGTAACAGTGCTTCATAACTTCAAAACAACGGCACACTGAATTGCATGAACTACCAGTGGTTTCCGACTGCTACAGCCACCTTACCGAGCATTTAAATGCTTTGTTGAATAAGTTTTTCAGGTTTTATTCCCCACATTTATGAGACATCTGGAATATAGCATCCAAGCCGTATGCCCATAACCGCCTAAACATGCTCCCACATTCCCGAATGTTCGGAATGTGAGGCCTTTCCAAACTCTTCTACGATAAGCGCTTGAAAATTTAAACCTCTTACTGCCATCCTAGAACGCTGGGGGACTTTATATTGGAATCCTGTATACTTAACAACAATTTAGATGCTAACATATCTCGTCTTTTTGCTTCTTCAAGAAGTAGTTCCATGGGCTACGTCATGAAAGTTCAAAACTGTGATCGAATTAATTAGTCATTAATTGTAGCACTGTTCGTAGTTATCAATGATCTGTGGTAATGATGAGGGTAGGTAACTTAAGAAAGATAAACCGAGAGCAGCTGGCCTAAGTATATTTTCAATCCTCCTCTTAGAGGGCAGTGGTCACTTCTTTCAAAACAGCATGAATCTTTTTGAGTAGGATTATGATCGTTGAATGTTTGGATGACTCAGAAAGAAGGTGTATGGGGATTTAACACTCTCATAAACACTGTGTAAATCCTAGGATAAACTACGATAATCTGCCAAAGATCATGAACTAAATCTGTTTGAAATCCAAAAGTATTAGTGCAACAGCAAAACTTTAACACAAAGCTGAGAAATTTCGACTCCAAGATACTGGTGATGACACGAGATGATATCGACTGCTGTACGCGAGATAACCAAGTTAAATCCTGATAGATCCAGAAATCAGAACGCAGATAGTATCTGGATGAAGAGGTATATTATTCTGTTTTCTTGTGATATCGAAATAATATCAAGACCGGAATAAAGAAGCCGTCAACAACCACCGAGTAGAGAAGCGGAATGGAAATGACAAGCTTGGCACGCGAGTTATGGTCTTTAGTACAGTTAAACAAAAGGAGTACGATAGAACAATTATCGTTAGGATCAAGCACAATAATAAATGTTTCCATTTCAGCAATTGTGTTATCTTCGTGAAAGTATACCACTACAAGCTAAGGACAGGAGAATATTTAGACAGGCAATATCCTCGCTCCCATGAATGGTTACTAAGTATAAGAAAGATGATCCATGGCTAGAAATCGAAACATGCGGGCTCAGATACATGTTGAACTAAAGCATGCTCCATCCCACCCATCAGCAGCCTACTTTCCAAATAAACTGCATATATGACGGTGGATATCTCTGTCTAACTAATATCAGGTTCTATAAATCTAATTCCAAGCACCTGTTGTTTGTTGCAAAATATCATCATCAAATAAGCTTATCGGGTTAGAATAAATGGCACCGAAAGTAAGTGTACAGCCTTCAAGGGTGGGTTCACAGGTAGTGACTTCATAAGTCCCACTGTTATGAGATTCACTAGCTAAGTATCATGCGTTCGCTTTCAATGCCTGACAACACGAAATTTTTGTTTACGTTTCACCAGCTTCTCTACGTGGTCATATAACTCTAATCAGTATGATCAGCCATATTGGGAAAAAATAGAAAAACACCAAAAAGTCACTTCCGTGGGTTTTTTGTAGTGTATGATTGTTTTAGTGTAGTCTAGGTCACGCGCCAATTGTATGGCGGCTACATCTATTACGCGAGCACAGGTTTGGGTTTTGTACTGACCTGTGTTCAGGGTAATCCTAAGAATTGTTTTTAAGAAAAAATTGCTCACTGATATATATCCAACATTTAATTCCCAAGTCTTGCCGTGAGTTAAGTTCAATATTGATACCCTAACTGACATACTATTGTTACTTTTCATATACTTAACGAAGTTATTTTTTGTATTGTGCTTGCTAAGAATGTTGATTATTTCATCCAGAAAGTCGTTGTTGTCGCATACAGCGTCTTCATATGCGTATCGCCGCTGCATATATGTTGCGTTATACGGTTATGCGAACGGACGATGTAATTTATACAGTTAGTCTTTCCTCTTAGGCTCTTGCTTTTTCGTCTGTGACTTTCCCATCAAAATATAGCATTTCAAGCGCTAATGGTCAAAATAATACCGTAAGTGACTTGTTCTTCAGTCGGGACTCGTCATTCGTTCACGAGATTCATCTATGTCATGCCATGCCACCAGTTAGGTCGCAATTCATCCATTAAATGATGAAAATAGAGACCGGTAGTTTTGTATTTCCAGACACCATGCATGATCTTTGGAAGAAACTTAGTGAAGTACTTCAACACATCTGGATAAGCCATTGTTCTCATTCAAAATTTTAAGCACTGTCAAGCTGCACTGCTGCAAACCTCACATTAAAGTTTGGCTTTCGAGGGGAGGAGATGACGTGAAGACTAATATACTGGCCTTCGGACTTCATATTCACACTATCGTACAAGTCCAAACACTTAAAAGTACTTACCAATCTGACTGTCTAAATTACACTGCAAATGTCTGCGTCAATTTCCGGTCGATAGTTCTGTCATTCGTTTTTTATGAGCTTGCTATCCATTCACATCCTTATACTATCTCGCACAAAACTGTCCTTATGTATTGTTCTCGTTCAAAGATTTGCTTACAGACCATTCATTTTCAAATCCTTTCTTGGCGGGATTAGTGTTTTGTAAATTTGTTTACACTCGTTTTCAGTGCCTACATCAAAGGGTATTGAATAAAAAATTTGCTGTCTTATATAAAAAGCTATATTTTTGTACGGTACTCTGGGTTAAGTACATTCAAGTCAAATGATTAGTCTTCTAACTGTGTATTATCACTTGCACCGTATTTATTCCAGCTACTCTGATATTATCCCTAATATTTTAGAATACTGATATAAGTAGTGCCTATAATTCAAGTAATACACTGTCGTTGTTGAAATGCCAAAATTTCCAGCGGGACTATTTTACATTTCAAGTATCACTGGCTTCCACTGCAAATATTTATCCGGGTTGTTTTTTTCACTTTTTCAACTTTTACTGAGTGAGTAAATTCCCATCACTTTCTACTCTGTCATTCTTTTTCTTTGAATAGTGTTGTCAGTAACAAACAGTATAAACCAATCCATCAACTATAGCATTTTAAGATGGATTGCAGCAAGTCTTGTCAATAAATATGTCTATTCCTCTAAAGAATGAATGAATCGTCAAATCGTAACTCCCTAGTTGGTAGAAATCCTGGATTTCATTCCAACGCCATGCGTGACAGTCTACGTGTGCTTAACTCTTCTTGTGGAGTAACCGCAGCTCCTCATGTTCTCGAAAACCGACTGAATTATCCACAGAACACTTCAAATCACGGGTTTTTATACTCCGAAAATGGTTTCAATAAGTCCAACCCTACTTTTCCCAATTGTTCAGTTGATCCCTGTTTTCCTAGTCTCAGCGTCTCAATGGAACAAAATTTGGTTACGGATTACTCTCAGTGTCATTCATGTGGTAGCTCCCCACCACCTCCAGCGTTATCTCCAGTTAGTTCCTCTCCTACCCATGGGAGTAACAATCAAAATAACCAACCTTCCTCTCCTTCCCCTCCAATTATAGTCGCTGAAATTCGAGCTCCTTCATCGATTTCATCTCACTCAGCTTCCGAGAAAAGCTCTCACACCAGGGGTGCGTTTAAAATGATGAATCAACATGCTTCCCAGATCCTGAATAAACCACCAAATTCTAGCTGCCCACGAATAGTAAGCGATATGTTTATATCTAGTTCCAGCAGTTCATCTTCATCTACATCTTCCTCCTCAGTTCTAAATGAGGCTAACCATGCTGCCAATGGTCTACCAATTCTCGAAAAAATCTCTATCGTTCTTGGTTCACCTAAAAGACCAGTTAGTGACAATTCAATAGTTCGGTTAAACAACACCGATTCACCTTCAAAAAGTGAAGACCTAAAACTTCCAAAGTTGGTTCTGGAGAATCATATCCATCTACCAGGCAGTAACGAAAACTCCTTAGAAAAGCTTGATGAATCCTTCAAAGCGAACTCATCTGCTACAAACGAAGATACTAAGTCGATTGTTCTGGGTAGGAGGTCTAAGATAGCGACTAGACGAAAGGCGACAATCCGTTCAAGACGTCGACTTAAATCACGGAAAATTCGAGGAGATTCTGATTCTGATTTCGAGCCATTTTCCCAGTCTCAAGCAGGCGGATCCCGTGGAAGGGCGGATGCCAGAGCCCTTATCCGCCGAGTTCAACAAAAAGTTGGCAGTAAGAAGTGAGTTTTTTGACTCTTACCATATATATATATATATATATATATATATATATATATATATTTCGTAAGCATGCAGTTTTGTGATATCTTACGTGTAATATTTTTCTCTACATAGAGCTAGTAACGACTTTTATCCTGTTAGATTTATCATATAATTTTCCATTATTATTTTTTCTTACCAGTTTCTCAAGTTTAATGCGTTGGGACTCGTCACAAAATGAAAATGCATGATTTACACACTAATAAATTTCAAGGTTGAGAAATAAATAGGCTTCATGAAATCAAACTAAAGATTTCAAATGGTTTGCAGTTAAGCATTTTCATTATTTCCATCATATTTGGTTTGTAAGGTTGGTCTTTGTTAGTCAATCAATGAATCAACAGCAGTGTAGAATCTTCTGAATTGGGAATAAATGATAAGACCATATTTTTCCGAGATAGTCTCCTTACAGTCGGATTCCTGATAACGGTTTCCTTGATGAGTCCGAATAGTTGCCTACCGTTACCTATCGCCGCTGCCTTTCCCATCACTCTTGCTTTCGCTACCTATCACTGTTCGTGATCATTGCGTAGGCATTTTATCAGCTGCGCCTAAGCTGACTCCGCTCCTCATCGCACTCAGAGCCAGGCGGGATGAGCTTTCGTGCATCCATTAGTTCGGTAGATGCTACTGAAATCCACGGCTTCTCCCTAACTTTATGGTTTACCTTATTAGCAGATATCACTGCTGTTTCCACAGCTTTTTTAATATCATTTCAAGCTGTCTCAGTGTGTGTGTCACTTACATCGCTGCCTAATTGTTTTTATAACTGTTTCTGAAATATATTCTTAGCTGTTTCATCATTAGGTAGAACTCTAAGAGGTTTCCTTGTGATATTTTTCCTACATCCAGTAGGACGCAAACAAATACGCGCTCGCACTACAGCATGGTCTGAGTCTTTGTTAATGGATTGGTCTTAACATGTGTTTGAGTTCTCTCAGGTTCTTGTCGAACTATTCAGTCGAAAAGTTGATGCGGCAACTAAAATACACACACTGCATACTTTTACTGAATAACGCGAACTGATAACTACATATAAGGTGGAAGGCACTAGCCAGTATTATAACCACGTTTTTCATTTGTATGTAGCATTCGTTATATTTGGATTATCTACAAAAGTCCGGATTTCCAGATGTTTGTTGAAGTTCATATATATTTCATGTAATAATGCCTTTTGCAAAGTAAGATAACAGCTTACATCATAAAACACTTCCTTTTTTAATATCTTCAGTTGACTTTATTCCCAATGTTTTTTAGATCTATCGCTGGTGCTGCATCAGACACTCCTGGTGGAACCAGTGCAGATATTGCAATGCGCAGAAAGTATTTAGAATCACCTTTTTTATGTCTTTGTCAAGCTGGAAGAACAGTTTCTAGTCTTATGAAAACTTCAAACAATTCCACTAAATACAGTTGTATTCCTTCTGGATCTAAAATAGGTTGTGATAACTCAGCAACTGATAATGAGTTAACTGATATGAATTCATCTTTTTCTGCCCATATAATTAACCCAGCTTTACGTGACTTATCAGTTCAACAAGTTAACGGGAATATCTCTCACTGTACTATGCCTGTTAGTTGTCCATTCAAAGCTAATCTAACTGGAAGCGAATCAATGAAAGTTGATAAACATGACCTTGGCATTGAATCTCGTAGTATTCTTGCAGGTATGTATTAGTGTTATTTAGATAGTTTTCATAAAAGTATACGTAACTTATGTAACTCGCAGCTTAAATGAATATATATACATTTTTAATCCTAGGTATTACATATAGACCTTCGGGACCTCTCCGAGTACGTGACTATCAGTTTCCAACCTCAATAAATCCTAAAAGTCTATGGATATGTGCTTTCTGTGGTGAAGATAACAATTATACTGAACTTGGTTGTTTATATGGTCCTTATTGGCTCACAGAAGCGGATATAAAGCAACTACCTTCAGAACTGATATATGATTCTACTAGTGAATATGAACCTTCTGACACAACGACCCAACCTAATACACCTACAACTTCTATATCCAGACGTGCAAAAAGTATAGAAAAGGCAATTCGTTCTGGTGTAATTACTTCGACTACTACACGATCTGCAGCAGCCCAAGGACGTCCTACAGTTGCTAATACTGGTGTTCTCCGCCTAGTTATCAAAGCTTCAAACGGTACAATAAATAATAATCACTGCTTGACAAACAATTCACCTGATCTATCTAAAGTAAACAAAGACAGTAAATTCTCCAGGCCTAGAGTGGGGTCAAATGGTGAAGTCTGGTTTCATTTTGAATGCGCACTCTGGGCTCCTGGTACTTATGTGAACGGGAATGGTGTTGTTGGCGGTCTTAATGAAGCATTACAATTAGCTCTTAATGCAGTAAGTTTTATTTTGTGCAACAATCAGTGTAATTTTCTTGACTAAAGAAATACAGAGTATTTCTTTATAACAGAATAAATACCCTTTTTTTAATCGATACATAGAATGATCACGTTTTACATACTACCTTATTCACACCCAATGTAAATGTAATCGCATTTTATTCAGCAAAATTGCTCTATATTTCTCGCAGGAAAAACTATAACAAATTCCCATCAATGTCATAAATGGTTGTTACACTAGTTTTTTTTGAGATTTATTTTAACCATATTATTCATTACTCTAGAACTTAGAATTCATTGCATTGTAAGCATCCTGAAATGTGTACACTAGACGATGACTGATATTAATCGTTCCTTCATTTTCCCCTTATTTGTGAATAAAAGTTTTGTTGTCCTACACTTTATTTTAGAGTTACATCACAATGGTCATAATAAGCTCATGAAATTTTTCCTTAACTTTGCACACATATTAAGCTCACTAGATAGTAGTCAATCAAGTCTTCTTGTCTCTACTGAAAGTTCGTGAAAAATCATCTTAATAATAATAATAATAATCAGAAAGTATATTTTCGGGATGAAATTTATTTTAAAAAATCATATGAACGCGATAATGTTTCGTGATTTGTATATCATAGCAAAACATATATATATATATATATATATATATATATATATATATACGATCCTATTAAGTACATTATAAAACACGTGATCACCACAATAAAATGTTACATATATTTTTATATTTAGACACAAGCTCATCCATGGAAAAAATCCAACGTAACAATAAATACTTCTTTCTAATCAAGCATCCTTGCAAAATCTCATTGGAACTGTTTTACGTAGTAATATCTTCTTTATCTCATGATTGACTGACTGTACGCATCTGAAAACTGAATAACTGATATCTTTCAAAAGCATAAGCAAAGCTTAGTTATCAAAGACCTATAAACTGTCTAGCGACCACAACCTAGTTGATGATTTTCATACAAGATTAACGTTTTTACTAACTGTTGATTATATATTTTCTCCCTCCTTGTTTTTATAAACCTATCGTACTTGTGTGTCAGTTCTCCCCGTAATCTGTAATGAAACAGTAACTCAATGGTTAAGATGTCCGACTTTCAACCACTATGTTTCAGATTCGAACCTTGCTTCACGTACTTCAGTTTGAGCAAATTGGAAGAAAGCTAAGGGTAACCAAACCAAGACTTGGCATCAGTTTATGAATTGATTGTTGAACTGAACCACATCGGTAGGTAGATACAAACTACTTGGTTAACGTGTGAGTCGTTGTCACAATCAAGTGGTTGGAGATTTAAAGTAGCGTACTTCAGAATCGACTACAATGGCAGATGCACTAACTTTTTATCTACTAGGTCCTGAGTTTCAGTATTATTTCATACATGTCTTCTTGGACCATATTATCAATGCTTAGCTTTTCTTGATATCGTTGCTGTAATATTATTTCAGTTAAAGTTATTTCTCATGTCATGCTTATGTGGTATAAAAGCTTGGACCAACGCACATGTTCTGTAGTCTCTATGCAACTCATGACCGACTTCAGTTTGTTCAACCCAGTAGTCTCACTAACCCTCACACTTCCAGTATGTGTGAGTATATGACTCGAACCCAAGTATCTGAATATGTACCTAATATTTGAGTTTATAAATGTACAAAAGATTCATTACACATGAAATTAATAACTACTGAGATATTTTAATATGCCTTAAAACTGTTGTTTCAACGAACTCAGTCGATCAGTCAAACGCAATGCGAAACCTAATAAGTGTGTGTACAACAGTTCAATTCTCCCCACCCCATTAGCACAGAAACGAAATTGTTAGGATGAATTCTGGATTAGTGAAGGTAGCGATAATATTGAAAGTAATATAAAAGATTAGGCATCAAAGTTACAATTCAAGAACCAAATAACTAACTCTGTATAATTTTCTCTTACGAATTAAGGCTTTATAATGCTGTTTAATTTATTTTCAATTATTTAGCATTGTTCACATTGTCAAAAACCTGGGGCAATTCTAAGTTGCTGTAATCGTGGATGTAATTTAAGTTATCATTATCAATGCGCACATAAAGCTGGTGAGTTATGTACACTGCAGTATTCTAGTATTCCGCATTACTTTCAACCAGTGTTCTTTTTGTTGTTGTTGTTGTTGTTGTTGTTGAAAAAGAAGAATATACATTCATCATAGTTTTATCAAAAATATTTTTTCTTTAATGGAATTGCCACTTTCAGTTTTCCTTTTCTCTCATTTTTAATGCCAATCTATTAACTACAATGAAGCAAACACGGTATATAGATATACGTATATTGGACAGGTGTTATTAGTCAACAGAATCTTAAATGAGCATCTCATTTCATATGTTTAAATTTTTATTGGTTCGCCTGTATATGAATTTCATTTGCGAATCAAATTTACACATAATACTAGTTCATTTCATTGATATATACTCAGTAACTGATTAGCAAATAAATCTTTACAAGCTAAGGTTACACGAATCGTAGAGTTTCTAAAAGTCCAGATTTTTTCTAATTTGAGTAGCAATTTCATCACAATCTCCGTTGAATTACGAATCAATCTCTTCTCTAACATGGTTTACACTGAAAGTCTCTATAGAAAGACAAATTATAAAGTTTGTTTCTTTCCAAATCTGATCTCGTCACAATTTTTCCCCGTCAACTCTGATAAATGTTATGGTATTTACTCAAAGATCATCAATAAATAAGATGTATTTTCTTCGTATCGACCTAATTCACACAAAATTTGTGAGATTGTAGTAGCTTACCTGTTGAGAGAGGTTCGATGTGTATCATATTCAAGAATATTATTGGTAAAAGATACAATGACCTCTAAATGATACAATTCCCCCAAAACAATTCCAGAACCCATATTCTGTACCCTAAATTTTTATTCTTTTATGTACACATGACATTTGTCGACTTAGCTACCCATACAACTCAAGGGGGATCTGATGATGATATAAAGATATGGATTAGCGAGGGCAGCATTTCTACGATTGAAGAACCCCTGGAACTCAGAATAACTATCAGCCAAGTCTAAAGTCAGAATTTTTACTACAAATGTCAAAATTCTATTGTATGTGGCCGAAACTAGGTGAACTACGAAAGCCATCATCCGGAAGATACAAGTGTTTATCATCAGTTGTCTACGCGAATTACTTTGGATCCGCTGGCCAGACACCATCAAGAACAACGTACTTTGAGAGCAAACAAACCAGATTCCAGTGGAGGAACGAATCAGGAAGAAGCGTTGGAAGTGGATAGGACACACATCGAGGAAAGCACCCAACTACGTCACAAGACCAGGCCCTCACTTAGAATCCTGAAGGTTAAAGGAAAAGAGGAAGGTCAAAGAATACATTACGCTGAGATAAACATATAAAGAATAAACATTAATTGGGTAGAAATGGAAAGGGAGGCCCAAGATAGATTAGGTTTCAGAATGCTGGTCGGTGGCATGTGCTCCATTAGGGGTAACAGGCATAAGTAAGTAATCCATACAGCCAATCATGTCATCGTCTCAGTAATTGCAATATTTGCGTAAATTAGTTATCTTCTAGGAATTTTTTGTGCTTCTCCGTTGCTTAAATACAATCTTGCCAATAAAGTCAGCGTCATAACACTCCAATTTGCAGCATAATTTTAAGATTGGGTTTTTCTTGACAATCCTTTCCCTTTGATCAGTCACTCTCTCTCTCTATGTTTTAATAATTTTCTGTAGTTTTCAAGAGAAAAAAAATCACCTTTTAGCATTCTATTTACTTTTAGAATGTCATTTGGATCGGGATCAATACATTCTGCTGTGCAAAAAGCATCATATCTATTCATAGTCAGTCAATTAGTCAATAAAGCAACATATACCATATATGTATTTACGATGATGATGATGATACTATATTGTATTTGTTTTTATCACTGTCCCACATGTCAATGTATCCTAACCAACATGTTTAGTTTTTTAAAATATAATTGTATGATTTTGTAAAGATATCATGTAAATGTTTGTATGTAGGTGTGCTTGTGCGCCGTTTTTTTTCAATAATATAACCTGTTGTATAGGTAGGTGCTTACAAATCCCTAGATCCAAAACTCAATTTGAACACTTTCTTTCTCATTGTTCCTCTTCCTAGGAACACACACACACACAGTATGTGTTGTAGGAAGAGAGAAATAGTGATTGTACAGTTTTCTTTTTCATTCTTGTTTGTTTGTTTTTTTTTACTCCAATGTGCGCGTATTTGTGTGCTCTTCATATTATCATTTTCTCTCTCTCTCTCTCCTTACTTTAACTCAAAATTAAAGCAGATTATAATGAATGATGATTACCATCAAATCTATCCACTTTATTCATGTATTTTATCTATGAACATGTTTTTCTATGCATGTGTATATCTATCTATGTATATGAATTTGGTAAAGAAAATTTTGCTTTTGTATTTATTTTAAAAACATGTGTGTATTTATGCTTATGGGTTCAAATGACGGTGTTAGTAAGAAAGGATTGTTTGACAAAGATTAATGAAAATGTTTATATCTTCTAGTGATACGTGTGTGTCGCTCTCTCATTAGATTTATTTTTTCCCATTTTGGTCTATTCATTTGTATGTTAGAAGACAAACCGAAATAAAAACGTCATTAGTTTAAGTGTGTACGTCTTTTTAAATTTTAGGAGAAACAATTTCACTTGAAGTTGTATATTCTCATGATTCCAAGTTAGTTTTTAAATTATTACCACTACTCTCTGTTTTTATTGATCGGTTTTCTCTTGGAATCCCATCAAAATAGCATTCACTTCGTTTATTAGTTGTGTTCTCTTTAGTTTGTGGTTATTATTCAAATTGTCTGTCTCGCAATGATTGTTACGTTAAGAAATAATCTGAATAGTATCTGTGTACACGAGGTCATGATATGAATACCGCAATGGTGTATGCACTTACAAATTGTGTTCAATGCCCTGAACTTATTATGAACTGTTTATTTTCAAGTACTCATGTGTAATAACATGAAAATCTTATTTTCTGGAGATGTTTTGGGATTCAACATGTTTTCACATTAAGCTAACTTATTCAAAAATACTGCTGTATTGCAATCAACGGAACTGCTTCTACTATTTTATTCCTCGCTTGTTAACTTGAGTGAAAAGTTAGGATTTGTGTAAAAGCTTATTAATTGACATTCTAGTTAGTTCAGTGATACATTGACTACATCCAGTGATTATTAATTACAAAATTTATTAGACTCAGTAGTGGTCAATTTACATCAAAAATGCCTAGGAACCGATGAGTTAATATGATACTATGACTGTGAACGGAAATTGACTCTCAAATATCATAACCCCTTGTATTCATTGTAATTAACCTACAATATAATGGTAGATGGTTGAATCACTTATTAATTATTAATGGGAAATTAATTCGAACAATTAAATATGATTTAATCCGTAAATTAGTCTGTCTCATTCCTTAACTACATATTGTTGACATCATCCGTCTCAGGATACTCCTAGACAATTGCTGTCTGCAAAGCGGTGAAACGTAGTTAGAATGGCAGTCATTTTCATCCAGTGTAAATCCTACTCTTTGAAAAGTGTAATATCCAAGAAATATTGACAACGGCGTCCTCAAACTTTTGAAAATTAAGTTCCTAACGGTTCCACTAGGTGGTTATAATAGGATTGGGTAGTTTCTGAGCCTGCTAGTCGTACGTCTTTTTTCCACTGACTGCTGTAATGTTCTCATGAAATGGTACCTGTTTTATATATCATAGTTCTTTCTGCTCTCATTCGAATGCACTAAGTTTATGGCCTCCTATTAGTCGCTGTATGCTGGTACATTTTTAATCACTAGCATCTTTCGGGCAGATTCGTGAGTTCTTGTGTCGTGTGCCATCATCAGTACTGTTACCATGTTACACTACTTGTGCATCTCCAAACCGCATGCAACCAAAAAGCACAGTATTACCTCACTGAGTAGATAAGTCTAATCTCCTCAAGGATCAGTAGCGTAGTGGAACACTTCTACAAAGAAAACGCGATTGATGAAAACTAAAGATTTATTATTGTACTCGTTTTGTTCAACTGCGCCAAAAATACTTACTGGCGCATAGCGATCTTTTTCTCGTTGCTGCCATCTTTCATAAATTGCAGTTCCATGTAATGCCTACTTTCTCCTTCAAACAAATTTCCAACCCTGGATTTATTTCTATAATTTGTGACGGGATAGTAATGAATATTTAGTGGTTATCATAGTCAATCTCGATTCCGCTATCGCTAAAGTAGTCGAAACAATAGAAAATAATGAATTTTTTCAGAAAAAAAGGCAACATATTTCCATTCTAGAAATGAACAGCTCAAATCAATAAGCAGTGATTATGGCATCTCCCATAATCAAAAGTCAAGTATAACAGTGTCGTCAACAATTGATAAGTGTGGTTATCGGAGTAATGCAATAAGAGAAACAATTGTCAGGAAAAATCAGCACTAGTCTTATCCTTGATCAAATTAAATGCATGATTTACCGTAACATTTAGATGGGCTGAGAATTTCGGCAACAGTGTTGGTCCTTCATAACATGGATGTATGATGGATTTTCTCAGCCCTCAAATGAATATAAGGAAAGATGCATAAAATTTAATAAAGAAAGAAGCTTGAAGTAAGCAACTCAATGTTTAACGTGAGAAGCTATACCATAACAAAACATTTTTTTGTTTACCAACAATTGTACCTATCCTTTAATGTTTGTTTAGTTGTTGATGGGTTCTTGTTTGACACATTTTTTTACAATATGGTTTTTTTAAAGATACCAAAAAATGAGTTAATCGACCGACTACTGAAGTAACAAAACACCGGTCTTTTACATGAACGTTTAAAGCCAATTATTTTAAAGTAAACACTCCAATCAACTAAAATCGTAATAACTGTTATACCATGTTATTTTACTCATGCTATCAAGGCTGTAATCAAATTATCCAGAGTTCCATATTATGAAATGAATTCAGCTAGAAACCAATAAAACTTTGAGATAATTAATTACTTTTTCCTCTGTCTAAGATTCAGTAGGAAACTTTCGGATCTCGAGGCAAACAATTGATCACCAGAAATAAATGTTGATATAAGATACCTTTTATCTTAACTCAAAATATGGTGCGACCATTCCTTAATGCTACTGATGACATAGATTTTTGAGCCCCACTCGTCATAATTTCCCACTAGAACTCTTGTAATCCGTCCTCAAAACCTGCCACTAGTTAGCACACAGTGAATATATTTATAAGGAATTTTGATTGTTGGGTTGATGGACCTCAGTGTTGCCCAACTAAAGTCACTCACTATTGCAGAACTACGAATTCAAAAGCCTGTAAACTCTCCAGTCATAAATCTGTAGTGGAACGCTTCTACGAAGATAATATGATTTGTGAAAAATAAACATTATTGTACTCGTTTTGTTTAACTGTATCAAAAACATTGCTACGACTTCTTGCGCGCAACGTTCTCTTTGCGTTGCTGTCATTTTTCTGTATTTGCTTCTCCCCATGTAATGCCAACATTCTCCTTCAATAAAAACTTGGAATATGGATTTATTTTGCTTTTAATCATGACGGGATATTATGGAACATTTAGTGGTGAGCATAGTCAATCTGGTATTTGGATTCGCTCACTACAATTCATAATATCAGTGTTCGGTGTTTATGCCGGTGTGGCAATTCATGTCAGTATATATTGTTCCTTCTGTAATAAGTTCTAAAATTTCTGTTTTATTGTATCAAACTTCCGTTCTTATGTATACACTAAATAATATTATAGAACCGCCATCATTGATTAAGAAGTGTTATCACGGGATTTAAGTTCATTTTTGTCGAGAATACTGAGTACCTGTGTAGAATTAAGATCTACTCTGTAGTAAAAAAGTCTACCGATTGGTAATTAAGATTAGATCTCAGATAAAATTAATCTGCGAATTCTTCAGATAACTGCTGTAGTTGAATTCTCCATCGTGACAGTTCAATTCGATTCCAATAGACGTAGGTTGGACGCACTTCCCGATTTCGAAATTAAAACACAATAATTCTAGGGGAAAATGGTCTATTTACAAATGACAAATGGAAATACAAATAATACCTAACTAATATTACGTCTTCCAATTCAGAATTACTCCGAACGAGTATCAATGTGCCGAGGTCTAGGTGAACTCCTATACTGCACGATGTTGAATCCAAAAATGTGGCGGTAGCCATATTATATCAAATTTAAACAACATATGTACAGTTCAGAAGCAAACACAAAAACTTCAATATAAGTACAAAATATAGAAAGAATAACAATATACAATGATAAAATCTCAAATTGGAATCAAATAAAATACCAAAAACGTCAACAGAAAAAGTCCGTCATGTCATAGCAAAAATATGTAAACATGGAGGGATTTTCCAAAACACAAAACATTCAAAAAGGATTCTACACCGGCCCGCAAAATCCCTCCATGCAAAAAGAGCAAGCGTTAATGACACTTTATTTAGGGTTCCCAGTTATCCCCTAATCCACACCGGAATAACGTGTAGGACTTACAGCAGTACGCCTACCCGCCATCCAACATGGATATGACCTATCATGCTAACTAGGTACCTATACTTTCCCATCAGGCCCTTGATTCCTCTATCTATCGTGGCATGACCTAACGGTAGTATAAACCTTACCCAATTAACCCACACGAACATGTACAACACGTCGTAAAACTGGTCATATCCTATCCGAGAACTACATTCCTTATCATGGGGATGAGTCGTCGATCCACCATCACTTGCTCCGATCAGCAGATACAATGAAGTCCGGGATGCTAACTTATCAACCGAAATTCTTGACCCATAGATAATATGCAAGGGTGGGATCTCCAATTTTGACATTTCATCGTCTCCAGAAGACTTTAAGTAGCATGACGTGGGATCAATATTTATCTTTCCATCTCCCAATACAGAGGAGGTTTGATCAGTATTCGTCATCGTCGGTAACTCATTTGTCACATCAGTGACATCCAGATTATTATCAACGTCATCATGATTCCGTTCTGTCAGACAAGTCGCGTCGATTCGGTCTGCATTAGCATCCGTAGAGTGGAACTCTTCCATTTTTGTATAACTCATATCACTACATGAAAGAACAACATTAGTATCGCAATTCGAAACTGATATACTCACTTGTTGTTCTTCATGTTCTGTTTCAGAGACACGAGACATATGCTCATCAATAGCATCATTATCATGCAACACTGTAGATTGGTTGTTACCATCAGACGCTTCCTTCTCATCATCACTCGACTGACAGTCAACCGAAGTAGGACACTTACAGTTACACAACCTTGTGTATCTTCAATCAACTTAGCATTCGCGGCAGGGTCCGATGACGTCGAAACACTAGAAGGCTCGTTCGACGAAGTTGATAGACTAGTCACTATAGGTGGACTGCTCACACTTTCTGTCTCCTTACTATCGCTGTCACTACTAAAATTCTGATGACTACTATTTCCATTGCTAGTCATAGCATCCGAAAGAGAATGATGTTTAGGCTTCTTTATAATAGTAGCATCATGTTGTCTCCTAGGCTTCTTAGCCTTTACAGTACCACCATCATTTATCCTAGAATCTACTCTAGGTCCAGTTATATAATTTACCCTAACTGAAGGGTTCCGAAAATAGGCTTTATTCCGTTCAGACAATCCTGCCTGGGCCTTCTTCATATTTACTGAACTCATTAACCTCTGATTACTCGAATCCAAATAACCGTTCCAGGCTTTTCGAGCAGCTGAGAGGCTTTTATCATCACACACTTCGGATCCATCTTGACGCCTACACTTTTCACCTTTTTCTTTCTTTTCTATACTTAGAAAAGCCATCTTATCTGTTACACCAACCGGCTTCTTACTAGGATACACATCAAGAGGTTTTACATCGTTACGGTCACATACTCGTCCTTCATCAGCGTATGCTTTCGTGATATAATTGACAACTCTCTTATCTTCCGGGCGTGCTTTAGGTAGAAACAAAAAATCCTCATGTCTCGCACGCAGACCACTAGTAGCTTCCGTATTATTTCCTGTTTTAGCCCGATAAGCTAATCTTCCGAACCTACTACTAGCTATCTTAGCGCGAGACATAATAAATTCCGTCAACTCATTGAAATTAGGTTCTCTTACCTCTTCGTCCCACTTGATTCCCAGCTCTGCCCACTGGGCTTGCATTCGACGAGGTAAGAGCCTGACTATTCGTTCTAAAGTAACCAAGGAATTAAGTTCCGTTGTGCAATTTAGCTGTTCTAAGGTTAAAGCAGCGTTCTGCATTTTAATAGCCAAATTCGTCAGTTCCTCAGGCTCATTAAAATCTGCGTTCCCAGTTCTAAATAAGTCCTCTAAGGTTTCCCGGGCTATTACATGCGACTGTCCAAAGAGCTGTTTTAAAATGGCCTTAGCTCTCTTATATCCTGCTTGTGGATCCATAATAATACGACCTTCAATCGCATTTTTTGCCTTTCCTTTACAATAATGAATTAAATACAATAAACGAACTTGGTCATCTTTTATTCTGGGTTCTATAAACGTTTCGATTTGGCGCATAAACCTAAAGTAGTCGCGAGACTTTCCATCAAAATATGAAAGTTCGACCTTAGGTAGTTCTAAACCTACTATCGATGTCTTAAGTATCTGATGCGTCTCTGGTACCTTAGAACTCTCACTTAATCCTGGTTCCTTAATGCCTGCCAAAGGTGACTTACAATAATAAGTATCAGACATAACATGTGGGTTACCCATAAAAAATTCATCATTAACGACTTGCTTAGAGTTCTGTGATCCGTCGAGCTCTTCCACCCTCCTCATGTTTGATTTCTTTCGACTTGACATCATAAATGAAGTTCAGTATAAGAAAAATAACAAATACAAAATATAGTAATTCCACAGATCAGTTCGAGAAGAAATGTCCCGGATCCAAATTTCTTCCTCCAAGATACAATTCGAATACGAAAATATGATAAATAATCCAAAATTCTTCTTCGAAGAAAGTTCAGTGTGATAAACGATTAAATTTCCAAAAGTGTCTTTATAATTCTTAATAATCCAACTGTAATTGGACTTCTAATCAAATGTAATAGATAATTCCAGAATATAAACGTTCATAGGAATATTTCCAGAATATAATCGTTCATAGAGATATTTCCAGACTGTAAATGGACTGAATTCCAATATTAGTTAGACTGTAGTTGAATTCTCCATCGTGACAGTTCAATTCGATTCCAATAGACGTAGGTTGGACGCACTTCCCGATTTCGAAATTAAAACACAATAATTCTAGGGGAAAATGGTCTATTTACAAATGACAAATGGAAATACAAATAATACCTAACTAATATTACGTCTTCCAATTCAGAATTACTCCGAACGAGTATCAATGTGCCGAGGTCTAGGTGAACTCCTATACTGCACGATGTTGAATCCAAAAATGTGGCGGTAGCCATATTATATCAAATTTAAACAACATATGTACAGTTCAGAAGCAAACACAAAAACTTCAATATAAGTACAAAATATAGAAAGAATAACAATATACAATGATAAAATCTCAAATTGGAATCAAATAAAATACCAAAAACGTCAACAGAAAAAGTCCGTCATGTCATAGCAAAAATATGTAAACATGGAGGGATTTTCCAAAACACAAAACATTCAAAAAGGATTCTACAACTGCGTCTGAAAAGATCATGAATAGGTTTATTAAACAAACTGAAAGAAGTAATAGTTTCTTTCAGTTTGTTCCCCATCAGGACATGCAAATATATATGCTTTATAAATGAGTGAAAAGTCGATACCGATTGAATAGTGATAATTCAATTTGACAATATAATCGTAAGTTAGTTACGCAACACTTGGAAGAGTAGAACTGAAACTAATGTGAATTTTCATGATCATTTAATCACTACAAGAAGTTATATAAGAATAGGAATGGTGGAAAAAATTGGATTTAACCATAAATTAGTTAGTTAGTATTATGTTTGATAGAGAACTAATTAAAAGGAAATATTACATTTTTAATGTCTGAGTGGGAATATTTGACGAGTTATTGAGTTCATAGGTCTCTAACCTATGCAGTATATGCTTTTCTCTTTACAAAGGCTAAAAGTAGAAATGCTGCTAACCCACATCAACACTTTCACATAGAAAGGTAAATAGCAGATCGAAATACTGAGAATAGTATCTGAACAAATATATTACATTTCTTGTCATGTACTTAGAGTGTCTGACAAAACAAGGAGTGTAGCTGTATAGGATGTACAATTACAATATCAGGTTTACATCAAACTAATTTGCGTACAGACACTTTGTCTCTCACCTTCCTCATCAATAGAGCCACATTACTTAACCCATAGTCTCATCTCGAAGCTGTTTTTATGGAACACTATTTCAGTTCTCCTAAGATATCTGAGAGGCGTCATAAAATTCAGGACTCTACTGGAAACTAAGTGTTTCGCCCGAATCATATGCGGCGACTGCACACTTTGATGAAATCTTCACCAATAACTTACTGAGAGAGTTGGTTTATCGAGAAAAAAGACCTCACATATTTGACATTTTCGTCAGAACAATACATAAACGGTCATACACGACCAATGACTTGGGTACTCCAGTAACGAAATTAAAATTTCACTGACAGACTGCGACGTGAATCGAAATGTATCCATTTATTAATGCTTTTCCGTACAGGTAAGCTCAGTTTCATCCAACGAATCGTCGAACTGAAGACCTTGTGAAAGTTGTTCATGAAACTAAACATATTGTGTATCCTCTTTAAATTCAAATATAGTATGCAGAGATTTCGTTATTCAATAGGAGTCTTCCTGGTTGTTCCACAATATGTTGATATCATCCATATGGATGATATTAAGTTAGTTTTGGAAACATTTCAAGCCACTTCTCAAACTTTAATATTAAGACAAGCATGGGAACATGTGTGAGTTCCATTAGCCATCTGTAAGTTGAACTCATGCTTTTGTTCATGGCTACATAGGAGATGATAGTTTATGATGATAAGTCAGTGTAACAGGATCCGAAAATATTGATACACAGTTTTAAAGAGTAGTTCCAGTTTGTGTGCGTTAACTCTACAGATGGTTATGAAAGAAAAAATTAAGTAAGGATATGTGGTACTCCTTTATGACTGCACATAAACGCATGCACAAGATTCCTTATAGACATTTGGATTCTTTAGGCCATGAAATTCCTTTTAGAGAACGATACACATGGAATGTTCATATAAGTCTTCCGAAAAGAGACTTGAAATTTACTTTGATTCTGAAGGTAATAAAGGAGAAAATTCCTTCTGTAATTACTCCCGAAACGTTCCTTCAACTACTAAACAGAATCACTATCTTTTATGCTTTTCAAGAATGAATTATGGATCATGTCTTTCTCCGACAAAGACACAGATACGAAGGAACAGTTAGTTCATAATTTCTTTACTACATGGTTTGAAGTTTGATGTTCACATGCTAAAAGCGCCTAGCTTGTCTGAAGCGCTACGAAATGGTTGTGTCGGCGTTATATATTTTGGACAACAAAGGGAAAGTTCTCATTCATAGAAATTATCGTGGTGATGTCGAAACTAGCGCAATCGAAAAGTTCATGCCTATTGCGATGGAGCGGGAAGAGGAAGGAAGCCTCATTCCAGTTTTACAATTAGGCGAAATAACATTTACGTACCTTAAATACAATTACTTATATTTGGTATGCTTGACTCGCAAAAATGCCAATGTAGCAATGGTTCTTGCCTTTTTGTATAAACTCGTCAATGTAAGTCCTTTCTGCTTGTTTTATCGACGCAGATATTTCTTGAATATTTCGGGGAGTTCGAAGAGGAGAGTATTCGTGATAACTTTGTTATTACATACGAATTGCTAGATGAAATCATGGACTTCGGATACCCACAAACGACTGACACGAAAATCCTCCAAGAATATATTACACAAGAAAGTCACAAGCTAGAGGTGGCTCCACGTCCTCCAGTTGCTGTTACAAATGCGGTATCTTGGCGCTCAGAAAATGTAAAATACCGGAAAAATGAAGTTTTCTTGGATGTTGTCGAGTCTGTGAATCTATTAGTATGTTTAGATTGTTTGACACTTGAAACGTTAGGTAAGCTCCACTGGCAACGTTTTGCGGAGCGAGATAGTGGGTAGCATAAAACTTCGTGTTTATCTCTCTGGAATGCCTGAGCTTCGCTTAGGAGTAAATGACAAGGTCAGGTTTGAAAACATCGGGCGTAAGTGGTTTGCCTCATGCTTATCCTTCAATATTTTCTGTATAGGTGATAAAGGTAAAGCTGTAGAACTGGAAGATGTGAAATTTCATCAGTGTGTTAGGCTGTCAAGATTTGAAAATGATCGAACAATCTCTTTTATTCCTCCAGATGGTGAATTTGAACTGATGTCTTACAGACTGAACACCCATGTATGTGTTTTATTCGTTATCATAAGATATTTTGCTTGTTCATTATGGGGCTTAAACGTTCATCTAATAAATTTCCATTTAACTGATATCTGTATAAAGAAAAACTTTCTAAATGTCATGATGTTTATATTTTATCTTAACTAATTCATTTGTGTGACTACTGTTTGAATCAATAAACAGGATCCTATCAGCAAACACTCGTTAATAAAAGGCACAAATGTGATAGTGTAAATAGTAGTAGACATGGTCATCTTATTAAAATGAATAGTGGACAAAGGTATGGGTGAAGTAGGATCCTCATCAACAAGTAATTCAACCATAACTTGGTTGCATAACTGATAGTAGAGTCAGACTGACACATTGTAAAACAGCTGTGGTAACTTATATAACGGTTACTGTTTTCATCATATAGATGGTTTATAAGTGGAGGACGAATGCATTTCATATTAGTATTGTTTCTGTAAAGAGAAATTAGCATTCCTAACAAGGAATAATTTGGGCTGGTCACCGCTTACCTCATATACGTTATACTGTATCATACTGGGATCCTGAACACAAATCCATAATGGCCAGTATGTATCGAGTATACTTCAAAACGGAAGTCAGTGGCACTTCTTTTACATTTTCTCATAGACAATTGGTTCGAAGAAAACAAACTTTATAGGTTTTTATTCGTACATAATGTGCTTCTAGAGTTATTTATTCAGGTTAGAATTTAGTTTTAAAAGAAACGCCTAAGGGACAATAAATATTAAATTAATTGAATTGATGTTATCAGCATTATTTGACCATCTGCATCTTTACAATAGCATTAATTCGTTTTGTGAGCCATAGCTTATTTTACGTTTACAGTATCAAAGTTTGTGCCTTAAAGTAAAACTGATTTGCCCTAAACATACTGATGAAAAATATGTCAACTTATATACTACTGTGTCGAATCTTGCGCTATTTTAATCCCCTATCTTAACCTGTCTATAGCTCAAAAACTTCATATATGTTAATAAACTGGTCTACATCCTATTGTTTTACAAATGATGATAATTCTACCTAGTTTCTTTAAATCACGATAATGAAATAAGATCTGAATTCATGATATATTGCCTTAAATTGAAAGGCTTGAACTAATAAATCACTATTTCTCCCATTTTCAGTGTCTGAATAAAATGATCATTATTCTTCGATTCGTCTAAGTTGTGTTGGACGGTGCTTATAATCACTTTTACTTATTATATTTAGCTCTTATCAGTTTCATTTGTTCATTTATTAACCGAAAACATTTACGCATCTCTATAACCAATCTACTTCATCTTAACTTCTTTTCAAATATAGGTTAAACCCCTTATCTGGGTAGAAGCAATCATTGAAAAACATGCACATAGTCGTATGGAATATATGGTGAAGGTAAATTCTTGCATACTACACTGTGTTGATGTTAAGTCTTTATTTATTTCTTTGAATGTTGGGATACAACTGCATCCAGTTGATGAGCTCTAAATAGAACAAAACGCGCATACTGGATTATATTGCTACCCTCTATACAACCGTACATAAAATTCGTTGAATGTTGTATTTGATATAAGCAGTGATTAGTTCAAAGGATAGCTGTTTAGAGTTATAATCAATATGTAAGAATTATCGAGATTCAATATGAAATGTAGTATTCACAATACTAAGAAATCATTGAATTGTATCATAAGTTTGTTTAAATGAAAAATGTTAGGGTGTGTACGGTCAATCTATTGTTAAACTTTTATTTTCAACTTTCCCCATATAGGTTATTAATAATAATCAAGCAAAAATTACAAACCCAGTTTCAGTATGCTGCCATATGAAATGGGTAATATCATGACAAACATGAATACCCTGACTTATTCTTTGAGAAGAATATTCTAGATATGTAACTAATCCAAAGATGCATAAAGTATTAGTGAAAAAAAACTATGCTCGAGTTTACAATATAGTGGCAAAATAGCCACAGAACCTTTAGACACCTACCTGTAACCATACATCCAAAACAAGCTTGCCAGCTAAAGATTTTTAGTTCATCTATTCTACTTGCAGATAGGAAAATTTAAGTCCCTCATATATCTGAATCATTCTTTCTTTCTGTTCGATTAGTTACCTTAAAAATTACGATAAGGATCTTTGCTAAATACAGTAAAGATTTTCATGAAATTCTATGTAACTCGCCAAATACAGATTCGTGTTCCCTGTTTAGAGTCGTTCTTATGGGTTAAAGTACTAACTTTAGATTAACGTAGGTGAAGCAGTGTTTGAACCTGTCGCTTAATGTTTAAAATTTGAGCCACTGCTACATCCGTTTCTCAAATAGTCAGTATTAAAATTATAAAGCATCAATTATGTGGTCAATACTAATCAACACTGATGATTGGATTGAAAAAAACATTTAATCCTTGTGTCTATTTTGTAGGAACACGCTAACATTTCCATCTATTTTGCTTTTCGGAGTGTATATTCCCGTTGTCTTCGAATTCGTGTTCTGGTTTCAGGTCATTCGAGTAGAGTATTGTATCAGTAGAATACTAGGCGGTAGAAACACAAAAATACGCTATCCTAATAAGATTACCATGTAGGAGTCAAATAAGTCGATCAGCATTTCAATATGAGTCTTCATGGTACGGTTGGCTTTCGTCCAATCAAGTAGCCAGCTGCGATTAACTTTGCTACTTACCCTATCTGTTTGTTGCATAAGCTCACCTCAAGTGCTTGCCCAAAAAATGTTTTGTAAATGTAACTTCTTATTTCCGTAAAATATTAGATAAATGTATTCATATGATCAGAGTAAACGTCAACTCAAATTCTTGACTACCTGTGTGAGAGGTGTTGATCGCCCTGAATGAAGCCTCTTAGTTACTGACACCCGTTATGTCTCTCAAGTTTTATATACATAGTGGATGTGCCTAACTAGCCTGTCGTTGGTACCGAAAATGCTGAGTCCGACGACGTCTAGCGAACACACAGACTGCTGATATGGATTTATTCGACCCCGAAAATAAGTCAATATAATATATGGCTGCGTCATTTTTCATATGATATTTTTATTGTAAGATTTGCTTAATCTAATTGTGTAAACACATTTAAAATATTGTACAATTAGGCATTTCTTCTCAATAAATGATTAAATGACATAGATTATTTGGAAGAAAATCAATTTAAATGTCATTTGCACTCTAATTGATTAGGTCATTACTCACCATATAAATATATATATATGTATAAATATATATATATATATATATATAGAGAGAGAGAGAGAGAGAGGATTTTGACTTCACTAATTGTCCAATCTTTATCAATAAAGTAAAGAAAGTCTGTGTGATTTCATTTTAAGAATCACTGACGTAGTTGGTTATTATATTTTGGTTAAAATATTCAACTTTCAGTTACTAGTTTGATGGTTTAAGTCCCATCCCACCTAATTCGGTTTGGGTTACTGTATAGCAGCATTATAGACCCTCATAAGGTGAAGCTCAACACATCAAAGTTTAGTGTTATCAAAACATTAAATTCGCTCAACTACTAAGTCAAATTATTAAGCAACATGACTTTCAATGCGTACTTTTATGAATAGTCTCATTTGTTTGAGTTTCTTTTGGAGACACTACTTTTTGTGTGTATCTGTTTAAGAATATACAAAAGAAATATAATAGTTTGTATAAATATTGTCATTTTTTATCATCCACTCATTGTATTCAAGGAAAGATTAAATCGCATGACATTTTTTCATGAATTATTCCACTAGCAGTATAGATGGCTGAAAGTAATCTTGCATTGTTTATAATGGTAGTTTGTAACCATGCACAACTTGATCTACTTGACTTTAAGTTATACTTCTTTGGTTGCCCGAAAACCCTAAGTAATTTTATGGAGATTGGTAGTTGTAACTAGGCTGATTCAACCAATTGATAGAGTTTTTTTAGCGAGTTAGTTTTCTAGGGTATGTGGTCGCCAACCTAAAGCCCAACCCTCCTTTATCCGGGTTTGGGACCGGCAAGGGCCCAGGAGATGCTCCAGGTGGAGTGAAACTTCGTCAGTTGGAGTGGTTGGGACATGTGTTACAATGCCCAAACACCGACTGCCTCGTCGAGCTACTTTTCGCGGTGTAGAGGAGTAGGTTGGGAGAAAGCTAGGAGCGGCCAGACCAAAACATGGCACAAATCTATGAAATCACTGACAACTGGATTGAGTCATGCGAGTAAATGTAGACTACCTGGTTGGGGTCTGCGAGATGATAGTAACCGATAGTTAGAGATCTTGAAGGACTTGGCTCAAAAGCGTTTGCAATGGCGCAGGTGCATCCATTCTTTGTGTTCTCTCAAATCCTAATCTTGTGAATTCCTCATGACCTTTTTTCTCTTTTTTAATCGCTTTCTCTGTGGTTTACATCTCGAATGATATAGATCATTAATCTTTTTGATTAATTCTAATACTTCTACTACCTCTCAATCAATCAACAGTAACGTAGAACTTCGTACGTACGTGCATCAGTTCAAGTTGCACAGCGATGCGATTGTCAATTCAAATCCCATAGTAGTATAGGTAGTAGAAGCATTAGCAGTAATCGGAGAGATTAGGGCTTAACGATATTATTCAAGAAGTAGAATCTAGTGAAATAAACTTAAAAACAAAAGATAAAGGTGACGAAGAATTTCGAAGGTTAGGATTTGAGAGAACACAAAGAATGAATACACCTGCTCCATTGCAAACGGTTTTGAGCCATGTCATTCAGGGTCTCTTACCATCGATTACTATCATCTCGCGGGCCCCAACCAGGTAGTCTACGTTTACCAGCATGACTCATTTCAGTTTTCAGTGACTTCATGGATTGGTGCCATGTTTTGGTTTGGCCGCCCCTAGCTTTCGTCCGACCAATTCCTACATCGCAAAACATAGCTCGACGAGGCAGTCGGTGTCTGGGCATTTGTAACACATGTCCCAACCACTTCAACTGATGAAGTTTCATTACTTCATCTATTGACCTGCCATCCTTACCTAGGACCCGTTTCCTAACAACAACATTGCTTACTCGGTTGTCCCATGATACACGAACAATGCTTTGGAGGCACCTATGATCGAAAACCAATAACCTACGAATATCTTCTACTCTGGCTGACCATATTTTGCAGCCATAATGTAGGGCGGAGAAAACTACTGTGCAGTACACTGGTCCTCTATTCAGCAATCGGATATCTGGCCTACGCCATAAGTGACGCAGGTTGGTAAAAGCTAATCGAACCTTCGGTATCGGTGCTGAGATATCGTCAGTCACCAGGCCATCAACACTGATGAGACTCCCCAGATAACTGAAACAGTCTACATGCTCAACTTCTTCATTCCCCATCACACTATTACCTCTACTATCATTGGATCTGAATAGACAGTGTGCTAATGCGGTACGGGAACTTGAACTGATGTACGTACGTACAATGTTGTACGTTGTAACTGACTGACTGACTGATTCAACCACTGAGTCGCAACTGCTTCGTCTCACTACAACTCATTTACAAAGTAGTTAACTCTAATCTATGCTGTTTTGGTGAGGTTTTAATACCAGGCTCTCCAAACTAAAGCAGACAAATAAGCCGGGGTTGAGATCTGTGACATGTCATGGTTTGCAACTGAATTTTTCATTAACACTTCACTTTTATAGTCAGTCAACTACACATCAATAATGTATACTTCATTTTCATTATTCTTTCATAAATTAAAAGGCTAAAGCACAATTCAAACGTCGAAGTACAGCTAATCAAGTTGAAATTCATGTTCCAGTCCCGTCGGATGTTGATTCTCCAAGATTTAAAACAACAATGGGTAGTGCGAAGTATGTTCCAGAGACAAATGTTGTTATATGGACAATACGCAGTTTTCCTGGTGGTAAAGAATATATATTAAGAGCCAGTTTCGGTCTACCTTCTGTAGAAGGTGGTCAAGATGTGGAATCTAGACCACCAATAACTGTGAAATTTGAAATACCATATTTTACCGTATCTGGTTTACAGGTTTGTGATGAAATTTGTTTATTAAAAGAAACATTTTCATTTTATAAATATATATTTTTATCGCTCACCGGATTAAAGATATTTGTATACTCGGTACATAGTATGTAGTTGAATACACTTATATCATGTGGTTAAAAGTCAACAACTCAGTTAATCACTAAACTGTAACCAGCCATTACAGTAAAACTATTAGTAAATGATTGTTATATGTGTGAAGACTGCCAGATGTATCTTTTGTCCAGTTAGAACATGGAAGCATTTAAAAAAAGATTGGATTTATATCTTTGTAAATTGATGCGTTGCGGCTCGATTCTCCTTCAAAAACATCCACTAAAATGCATTATGTGATTAAGTTATATCGTTCAAATTTTCAGTTTATTTTTTTTCTTTCAAATACATGGTTGTTAGACTATTAGACTGACTATACAATAAACTAACTGGATGATCTTCTTGCTTATAATATCTTTTGTATAAGTAATTTAGAATTAATTAATTGAGAAATATCAGTTGAAACATTTCAGTGACTTGGATCACACTTTGTGTAAAAAAAAGAAAAGAATTCCACCAGAGATGTTTTATGTGACTCCTATTTGCGTGCAACAACAAAAAAAACCTCATGAAAAGAAAGTGTTTTCTTTTTTGGCACCAAATAATTAGTGTATACTGTGATTTCTCTATTCATTCTATCAATCAATCAATCCTACATTGATTAAAGTATAGTGAAAATATGTACACTTTTGTACAATACTGTTAGCAATAGTCTTGAATAATAGTTTTAGCTTTCATACATCTTTTTATTGAATATTGTTAAGATGATTTGAATACAATGATAAGAGCTTTGAAACATCTTCCTATTTATATTGCACAACATTCTATAAATGTACTTGTACATTGTAATTATGAATTTATTGATTCGTTTGTTTTATTTGAGATAAATTTCAACGAATCATAATGTTTATCATACATAAACTGACCTTAGTTGAGGTAAGATTAATAAGTAGCTGATTCGTTGTAGTATGCGACTAGGCGTAGACTACCACCACCTGGTTGGGGTCCGCGAGATATTATTAGTATTTTTTGAATACTACATGTCATATTGAATCTCGATAATTCTTACATATTAGTTATAACTCTAAACAGCTATCCTTTGAACTAATCACTGCTTATATCAAATACAACATTCAACGAATTTTATGTACGGTTGTATAGAGGGTAGCAATATAATCCAGTATGCGTGTTTTGCCCTATTTAGAGCTCATCAACTGGATGCAGTTGTATCCCAACATGCAAAGAAATCAATAAAGACTTAACATCAACACAGTGTAGTATGCACGAATTTACCTTCACCATATATTCCATACGACTATGTGCATGTTTTTCAATGATTGCTTCTACCCAGATAAGGGGTTTAACCTATATTTGAAAAGAAGTTAAGATGAAGTAGATTGGTTATAGAGATGCGTAAATGTTTTCGGTTAATAAATGCACAAATGAAACTGATGAGAAGTAAAAGTAACCTCTACTCTTGAAGGTCCTGAGTAGTACGAAACTAGAACAAAACATTTGCTCAGTTCTCTGCTTTTAATGGTTATTTAACTGAAGTCAATTTGTATTGTAAACTAATTTCGAATCTACAGGTTCTGTGCGTCATATATGGGTCTCAGTTGGTCCACCATTAAGAATCAAGTAGCCACTTGACATTTATTTCATCTCAGTATCAAAAGCCCTCAGCAGTGATTACGCACATGTCGTTCAGACGTCAACACAGGACGCTCAGATCTTGTGGTGAACACTTAATCATTAGAACCATTGGTTCAGTACCCAATGGCACGAATTGAGCTTCAATAATAACGGCTGCTGAGCAGTATCATGTTGGCACTCTCCAATTTTTAAGGGTATCCAAACTGGGATCTGTATTCAGTCAACCTTTGGATTGACTAAGATGATGAATATAAGCATGCCCGGTTAGTTTATGCTTTCCTTCTGTAAAAAATTGAGCTGTTATTTTTTTCCTTTAGGTTCATCATTTGAAAATTATTGAAAAATCTGGTTATCATGCACTCCCATGGGTACGTTATATCACGCAGAATGGTGATTATCAACTGCGTACTTTATAAAACAAGAATACACCAACCAACAGAAAGATACAATGTTATTTTGTATCATTCCTACGTATTTCTTACTATTTCTTTTAAAGTTTTGTCTCTCGTTTACTCCTACTACTTCCGGTTATTTGAGTAGTAAAATTATCATGTTATCAATTTCTCTTTTGTTTGTACGAGAAATTTCTACTTTCGTCTCATTTTAACCTTTTTTTAAATTTCATTTATTTCATTTTGAACAAATTCATTGTGAATGATGACAAAAAAACCTTCTACTATTACCAACACATTTTTTCAATCTTCTATATCTTAATAATCTTCATCTTATCAACTATTTTAGAAAAATTCAATCAGTTAGACCAGAATTTATCACATGGCTGTGAATAATCACTTATAAGCGACTACTACTACTACTACTACCGTTACCACTCTAACACTACAAAAATTACCGCAATTTTTATGAAATATGTTTCTATTCATGATAATATGAGTATAATCTTCTTATCAGCTTCTAATATTATTTGGTTAATGATTTTAAATGGGAAAATTTTTTTCACAACTTTTAATATATGTACTAGTGTATTTGTTTTTTTCTAATAGTTGTCCTTGTGGTGTATTTCGTGAGAGAGGGGAGAGAAGGTTTGTATACTGTGAAGTATATGATATATGACACTTCACTATTGTGATGTATATTATAGGCTTTTATTTTGTAGATAACTTAAATCCCATTTAGTTTATTTTTGATCATTTTTTAATGATGACAGTGGTTCCTGCATATCTCTATATCACACTCATCCTGTGTCTTATTTGTATTTGTCGTAAATCTGTTCACGTTCTACTCATTTATTTACTTACTTGTTACAATCTTTTATAGTCAGAATTGGGATATGAAGAAAATTAATCATCACTGACAGCATTGCATAAAATCTAAAATGATGAATATACCCCCTCCCTCACATCAGTATACTTATTATGTTCTAAGTTTGTTCTTGTAAACTATCAAGGTTGTTTAATGTTGAAGAGTACTGCAAATCGTAGATCTTAATGTTTCTGTATGAAGTATGGGTGTTAAATTAGGTCTTGTAAACAGCAAGCTTGACTAGTTACAAACCTGAACGTATATGTATTGATCAAATATTCAGTCTTCTTCAAGTTCTAAAACATATGTATAATTTCCCTCGTCTAATAATTGTAGTTTTTATTGACTTGAAGACAACATTTATTTCCGTAGAATAAAAGACTACGTGACGTTGTTTGTCGTTAAAATATATACCGAAAAAGTAAATTAACTGTGCAAAGGCTTTTTACTCAAGCACTATTAGTTGAATCTGAAATTATGGCTAACTTTCTTTTGAATTGTCAACCGCAAGAGTTACTGGTGAAGTCTGTTTAATTTCGCCACTTTTATTTGAATTCATAGTAGATATATATTTTGAGAAATAATACTTTATTCGTTGGACGTTTCCGGGATTGATCTGTTATCAAGAGAATCACTTATGAACTTGGAATACTTAAATAGCATAGTATCATATAGTATAAACTGAAAAAATGCAGGGTCTTCTGATAGTCTTGAACAACAGTGCAAGGGTGTTTGAGATTTGTGTTTCTCCCTTTAGATTCAAAGTGTTACTTATGGTTGGCTCTTATCCATTGCCTATACTGATCATAGAGTTAAGTATTTGAACCCATTTACAACCTTTATTATTTGAAGGGCTTCATCAGTGTTTTACAAAATCTTGGCACCGATTGGGAAAACTGGACTTTTGCTACCTTGATTCTCTTGTTGCATAGGCAGGATACTCGTCTCCCAACTAGAGAGCAAGTATGCTCCCCATCAGTTCGCTCTTGTTTAATTCATGGCCTTGAACCTTAGTGTGTAAACATAGGACACATAAGTTGATAGTGTAAGTCGGTCGTAGGAAATCGACAATAACTGCTGCTTGGTATTCGTAAGAACGTATACCTGTAATCTTATAGGTGATTGATGCTCTCTGACGGACTCGTGCCCATGTTTCCAGCTTCAAAGGTCGAGACGTTACCACAAATATTAGGGCTGTAACTGACCTGTAGGATTCAGATGTATCTACAATTCAGTGTGATGACCCTAAGTATATGTATCAAGTCTGTATTGTTTTGTTGATCTATCAGGTTGCTAATAATAGTAATTTGATGAATGAAAAGCGCATAGTTGGAGGAGATAACACTTTGAAGAAAAAGGCAACCTAGTGATCACCAATCTTGTAAGTATGAATTTGCTTACAATGAACTAATGGAAACGTAGTTATACTAAAAAAATGGTACATCAAACACTTTTGTGAATGATAGATATCACATAGGATAGAACAGTTAGGAACCAGTGTTTTTTTAGTAGGACTGACTGCTTGTGAGTTATTAGTGTAGCGGAGAGTAATTCCAGCTAGTCCCCAATACAGGGTGCTTACAATCATAGCGAGATCAAAATTTATGGATGAACTAATCAAAACCGAAATAATGAAACTTCAATTGCTTCTCTAATCCAGCAAGTTGAAATGTACTACAGCAGAGTGCCAACAGAATACGTTTATCGATAATTTTAGATATTTGTGACGGAATCCCTAGTGAAAATTACATTTGTACACAGTACTGACCCAAATTAAATGAACGAAAAAGTGCAAGATATTGACATTTTATTGAACATTAACAAAAGACACTTATCCTTAGACCTAATCGGCATTTTGGTGCAAAATCTAATTCCAGCTCCAAAAAAAATCCCTAACAACTCGTGGTTGTAATTCTTTGTACTAATTTATTACCCTACATTGAACCTAGTAAGGGGTTAACATTTCTCAAGATCACCCCCAAAGTTCGTCTATATATTATACGCCAGTTATGATTACCTACATGAGAAGACTGAAAAAAATTGGACTGAACTGGGAAGGAGGGCCTAGGAGAGAGTCGGCTGAAGAATACTAGCCGGTGGCCTATGCTTCGTTGGGGGTTATAGGCGTAAGTATAGTAAATATGATCACATGCAACTCCAAGGCAGAAAACGAGAGTAGGGAGTACAACAGAACAACAACAAAAAATATTCTGTCCGTTATATCGATTTTAGGTAAGTGAAATTCAGTCCAATTCTAGTTCTCACTTATTGATAGTTAAAAGGCACGTGCTTTTAATCATTAATTTATCGAATATATATATATATATATATAAATCATTTTTATTCTGAAGTAATCTGATATCTAGAATAATTAAAGTATAAATTACCTTCAAACTTGTCTGTAAACCCAGCAAAAATCGTTTAAAAAACAACATTAATCTGCTCAAATTGTTACAAAAAATAAGTTTTTTCACTTCGAACCACCAAAATGACCTCGAGACTGAATTTTATAACAGATACAATGGTTTTCATTCTTAATGTATGGTTATTGAAAAGTCGATTCATGTCATCAACCGCTTCGTCAGTTTAACAGAACAACAACATTATTGATTTACGAAGTAATTATAATCGATAGTTAACAACTTCATAATCAAGCAAGATATGATCTATTTACTTACGAGACAGTTAAATCACTAATCAGAAAATCTACTTTGAATGAATCCCTATTATGACTTTGTTATTAAAGTTTAATCAGTTTATAAATCATCAACATAAAAAACGAAATCAAACTAATTCGTAAATTAAAACTAAAATCTATGACAATATGATATAGTATAGTGGATACTACTTACAACCTGGCGTATAAGTAATACGCAGCGGAATGTAGCTCAGAAGTAACTACCAAAGAGAAGAGTATCGAATCCGACTGAATGTATGGCACGATTAAAGTGTTTAGGACATCAGAAGGCATACGGAAGAAGATAGCCCATAATCTGCTTGTTTTGCAAATGAAATTCTAATAAAAGCCAAACACACTAAGTCAGTAAATTATATCTTTCTCAAAAACACCATTCTAATTAGTCTCAGCGCCTTCGTTCATTACAACAGTAACTCAGTAGAGTAAAAACAGCAAAGAAGTATATTAGGCATTTTTAAATTCGTCTTAGAGTTTAATTTAATTGTGAAATTCTCATCACCTTTCAATACAAATATCTCATTTATTTACGCCTGTTATCACCAATGGAATATAGACCACCGACGAGCATTCTCCAACCTTCTATGTGCTGAGACTTCCTTTCCATTTCTATCCATGTGTTGTTCATTCTTCTCATGTCCATCCCCATTTTTCCGCGCAATTTGCTCTTTGCTTTTCCTCTTCTCCTTTGGACTTCCAGGTGGTAGCTTGGTCTTGTGATGCAGCTGGGTACTTTCCTCGATATATGTCCTATCCGATTTGCAGGATGGTGGGATAAAACTCAAACATTCTTACAGTATTGATAATCTTGAAATAGACCTTAAAGATGTTTTCCAGAACGACAATGAAAACTTCACAGTTAAATATATTTTCAAGTTTTCACATCAGTCAACGATGGTGAACTACAGATTATTGATTTTAGTTACCTGTCTCAAAAAATTCAACGATTAATTAATGTAGTTATGGATGTTTTCCGTTTCACCAGAAAAATCCTTTAACATGCTACATTTTTGCTCTTAAACCACTGGAGTCATGTTAGATAAACTGTTGATCATATGAAAACAGTTAAAAAAAAAAACAAGGAAAATCTGGTGAATTGTTTCAAATGCTGGAATAAAAGCATTTGATATACTTATGGTTTATGCATTCTAGACTAATTGGCCTTTTGTAAAGCACTCAGCAATAATATTCAAATTCTCTTCTATTCAGTACATTAAAAAAAAATACACTATTTTCACAGATCTATAATTTATTTAAATTTTCCTATCTAGCTGACTGATTCGACAATAAATTCTAATAAGAAATTGATGTCATTCAAAAAATATTTATAACGAAAGATTAATGGACAGCTGTTTAATTGTAGATTGAAACTCTTCAACAGAAACGAATTTCATTTAGTCGATTTCTTCCATTTTTCTTATTCATACATTCATGACAGTTCATTAACAGTAGCACTCCTCACTTTTAAATTTTAATGGTAATATTCCACATTATGTATAAATTCATAGAGGTGTTAGTGTTTTCTTTTTTTTTTATAAAAGAAAAACACACGTAACACCAAAACAGAACTAATCAACATTTGATCGTCAAAACGCATTGATTTTCATTGGTTCATGTACAAATGTTTCAGTTAGTACAAAAACTATTAGTGCAAACTATTAATCAGTAGTAGTATAATATGCTAAAAGTGGAATTAAAATCAAAGAAAAATTAAATCACGGAATACTTTGTCAAATTAAAATCAATCATTTCTTTTTATAAGGCGTATATGTATATGAGGCATATTCTTATTATTTGTGTAGGCGTTGATTATTTAAGCGTTTATTTGTAATTGGATAAATTAACAATAAGGAAGAGTATGGTTCATGTCATTCTCTGTGCATATATGTTCTTCAATGTATTAGTTTCTGTGTGTAAATGTGTATATAATCCACTTTTTGATATATATGTGGGTCATTTGGATATATAACTTAACACATACACAATTGATTTTATGCTCACAAACACATATTTACATGTATTCACACAATATGGTGTTGTGGTAAAACGTTAGGCCGAACACAAATACAAACTTTTAGTACAGCGGAGATTCACCTAATTTTTTTTTTTGAGAATCTTGTCTAAACTTTGAAAATAGTTCTTTTAACTAACTCAGCATAAAAATGGATAATTCTCAAATCATGAAAACAAATGATGATAACATAATGACAGTGAAACATAAAAAACACGGAAGATTTGTTCGTTTTCTCTCACATCTTAGACGTAAACCACATAATGATTCAGAGACAAAGACAAAAAACACAACATCAACAACACCAACACTTCCACCATTAATGTCTTGTATGAATTCAGAATCATTACAGACTGTGTCATCTACAACACCTCATTCCCATGGTTGTTCAACTATCTCTAATTGGTTTACTGGTAAAAGTAAAGAGAATGTTCATGACAAACGAACAAGTGTAAAACGGAAAAAATATCAAGAAATTGAAGGAACTGTTTTAGTAAGTTCAATGAGTTTTCGATTTCATTTGTTAATTGTTGCTTATTGTTATTGTCAATACTACTACTACTACTACTACTACTACTACTACTACTACTACTACTACTACTACTACTACTACTACTACTACTACTACTACTACTACTACTACTACTACTACTACTACTACTACTACTACTACCACTACTACTACCACTACTACTACCACTACTACTACCACTACTACTACTACTACTACTACTACTACTACTACCACTACTACTACTACTACTACTACTACTACTACTACCACTACTACTACCACTACTACTACCACTACTACTACCACTACTACTACTACTACTACTACTACTACTACCACTACTACTACTACTACTACTACCACTACTACTACTACTACTACTACTACTACTACTACTACTACTACTACTACTACTACTCATCTTGATAAATTCATCCCACTGTGATGATGATGATGAGATGTGGTATCTTGTGAAAATACAAAACTAATCTAGGTTCTAACATTGTCTATGAATGATCTGGGCTCCACCCTCGTCATTTACTTCCGACCCCCAAGATGGTATCATCAGCCTTCAAACACAAATTGTAGTTCACAGCGTTAAATACCATTTTTTATTGAGCGCTTCAGTTATTCCAAAAAAGACAAACCTTTAGTAACTAGACTGATCGGTAGTTGGCATTATCTAAAGCTTATCAATGAATATGTTCAACTTTATGAGTCTTTTATTTAATTTTATATGATTGACATATAATACCATGAAAGATTATTTGGTCTCAAGTTCAAAGTTTCTACGAGGAGGTGTAAGAACCTTAAGCCAAACGAACATAAACATTACACTTGCTGAATGAATAATTAGCCAACTGGATTCAGTAGCAAACAGTACAAAGTTCGAGTCTCAGTGTAAATGACACTACCAAAATACTAGTACATCCAGCTGGCGAATTCTAAACTGGATGGAATGCGTATCAAAAATTCCACTCTCAGTTACAATTCATCTATTTGGAATAAATTTGGCAAAATGTATTACACCTCAACTAGTGTACTACAATATATTTATCAAGGTTCTTCAGAATGCTAAATATATATGACATGAAAATCTCAACCAATTAAATCATAAGAGATTTTCAATGGATCTTTCTAGATGATTTTAACTGATAGTGAAAAATTAGATTTAAATAGAATAGCTATCATATACTCACAATTTAATCATGATCATTTGCTCATTACTTGATATTCTTAGAAAAAAAATGTGCAAAATTTTGTTAAAAAGCTATAACAGATAAATATTATGATAACTGTCTAGGATTATAGGTTCGCACTACTATGGAGTTGATAATATGGGAGAAATAGTTGTTTAGTGTTTAACGGTCTCTTGATGGAACAACTGCTTATGAATATGATGTCATTTGTCGACTACCAGAGGACAACATCTCTTAACGTTGCTCCACTGCCTTGTGGATTAGACGTGTAAGATGAAAGGCTCTGGGACTGGTCCTATTATAGTGAAGGAGAACACAGGTGGGGCGACCGAATTATATTTATCGAAAATTACAGAGTTACTGAGTAAAATAGGAAAACCATATCGTAAATCGTTCATTTGCAAAATATCAGTTCATCATATCGAACTGGACTGTTCCTGTTGCAAAACATTAATCCATTGTCACTATTCATGCGTTTCATACAAATTCCATTGTTTTCTAACTCTTCCTTTCTTGATCTTCCCTCCATCTTCGGCTGCCAGACATTACGTTGACACTCATGTCATATACTACTTATAAGTAGCTCACACCACAGTATGACAAAACCACTCGGTTCGGTTTGGGTAACCAGGTAGTATCGCAGCTCACTCACAAATTCAATAATTTGTGTTGGGCATAAATATTTATGTAACCCTTTGTGCCTATGTTTATGTGCTTAAATAAACAAACTAAAAAAAATCAACCAATTAATTCTAATCTATTGTCCATCATAATTTAATCTTCTGGCATTGTAAATGATATTCATACATTAAATTAGTGTTTAAACTCAAATAATACTCAGCTTCATTTTTATGCAACTTTAACTATTAATTCATCTAAATACAGTGTTTAAAAATCAATTTATTGTAGTTATAATGTGTGATTTAGTTTTTGAGACCAAATAAACCTTTATCTATAATCTTTTTACTGTTATTTGTTACACATTTTTGAAACTATGAGTCGATCGATGTTAGACCACCATTCGATTCATGGTTTCAAAAATGTGTAACTTAACGATCTTTACAACCCCTTAATGTGATTACCTGTGCTCACTAGTGACTAGCTTCGTGAGGAATCTTCCCCGACTTCTAGTGGGAAGTCGTGACGAGTGAACTTCAACCTGTTCGGGTGTAGACAGTAACTACCGAAGGCTGTGAATGAGGTTGCACAATTCCGTGAGCTGATCAAGCTAGACACTAACACCATTACATACCTGCTCAGTGGCGATCGCGCACAATACCAAAGGTCCCGGGTTCGAATCCTGCGGGGTGCAGGAGTCGCTGATGCGCACTGCAGATGAGTCCCATACCAGGACAAAACGGCCGTCCAGTGCTTGCAGGTTTCTAATGGTGGTTTAATATTGATCGATTCATGGTTTCAAAAATGTGTAACTTAACAATCTTCACGACCCTGTAATACTGTTATTTGTGTCATGCAATTCACGATCTTCCAGCAATTAATAAGTTACCGCGCCATCTCTCAGTCACATCAAAATAAACATTTTGTATGATAGTAAAGTACTAAGAATCCGACATGTGTAATACTTTAATAAACGAAGACGTCAAGAGTGGATGGATCAAGTGATTAATTCGAAGAAGACATAGTTTAGTCAGAAAATCTGTACATCTTATCTTCAAAATTTCATTTGCAAAACAACCGGATAATCGGCTGTCTTCTTCCGTGCGTCTTCTAGTCTTCAAAACACTGTGATCGCGTCATACATTCGTATCCGGCATTCTTTGCTTTATCGCTTACTTTTGGGAGACACTCCCCTGCATACTGCTTATAAGCCACATTGCTAGTAGTATCCACCAAACTATTGTAAAACTAGTTTGTTTTTTTCTACTAGTTCTGACTTTTACTGAAAAGCAATAAAATCCCATGTTCTGACATTTAATTATCTGATAATTAATATGATAAGTGATGTTGACTAAAATGTTTTTTTATGATGTAAAGCAAACTGGGTTATTCTAATTTTCAGTATGGATTTTTAGATTCTCCTGTCATGATTCAGTCTATAATAAACAACTATCAGCAATTAGAAAGCTTTAGATGGCCGTTTCATCTGAGAAAATGATGACACAATGTCGTGAATTAAATAAAGTTAGACATACACACCATTGGATACTGACTCACTGGTCTTTTGCGTGAAACTGATAATCTTCGGTTCAACTGCTGAAAACAAGGTTGTTCAGTGGAAATGGTCCCATACTACAACAAAACGGTCGGCCAGTGCTTCTAACTAACTCTAGTTAGTTAGTGGTAGCTGAGTAGAATAGCATTAGTCCGCACACAAACATTTCTAACTTAGAACAACACAGATATAAGTGAACAATAATGTTTTTAATTGCATCGTTATCATGCTTTAATTTAATATACATGAATATTTATATGAAAATGTTCAATCAATCAAGGCAGTTTGAATCAATAATCAAAATGAAATAGATTACATAACTACACATAATAGGTAGAAGTGCAAGTTGATAAGAGGAAGACAGGTGTATCGATAGTAGTAAGAATAATAAAATACGGTAACAGACGTTTTTTGTCAATAGTTCATTATTGGAAGTAGTAGGTCAAATGTGATTAAACAGACTTAAAACAATCATCACAAAACATTGTAACGACTACGTAAATAATAAGTGTGTAAAGTATTAGACAGTGAAGAATATAAATGGAAGGAGGAGAAAAACGACAAACCAATACAGGATGTGAAAATAATGCTAATCATAACAATAATAAAAATTTTTAAAAATGGTTTGTTAAATTATATCCGACCAACGAAGGAATAGGAGTGTCACCAATTTCTTCTGAACAAATAATTTGGGGTTGAATGTTAGGATTCCTATGGCTTCTGCTATATGTAGTAGACGGGATCGAGCACCATTGGGAAATGATGGGGTTATACAATAGTTTACTCAAAAGGATTCAGAATTATCTATATTATAACCGCCATCAGTCAGATATGCTAAGACAGAGATGCATATAGTTTTTATCTGGCCTTTCCCTAAACCATACTGGAAGGTGTTCACTCATTCGTTGGTTAAGTTGCCTGTTAGTATGCCCGATATATCTATCTCCACAGGAGCAGCTGTACTTGTAAATGCACATTGCGGAGGCCAATTCACGTATCATCTTAGATTTAGAGACTGAGTTACGTGAATTTCTCCCTGGAAGCCTTATTTCCTTCAATATTCTAGATTTGTGTTGTTGAAAAGTGCCAACTGATAATATTAAACCCAGATTTAAGGTTTTGTAACTACTTACAACTACTTAATATTTTAACAGATTGCCGACGATATTCACAGTCATCTAGACTGGTAGCTCCATTATAACTTGATCAATATAACTGAATCAACACCGAGAACTGAACAAACTCGACATTGGTGTTATTACCCAGTCATTAAATAAATGTAAATCGTTTGTATTAACTAGATTCCATAAAAAAGTTTTATAAAAAAGAATTCACTAGGATGTTAATGTATTCAAAAAAATGATCAACATCTAATCATTTTTATTTTAAAGAAATAGATATAAATAAATCATAAATACTCTAATATCACTAAGCGATTACTGACTCTGATTGCTTATCAAGTTCTATTTTATCAATGTGTGATTGATATATTATTTAATTTCTGCCGGCTTAACTAATGTGTAACCTAGGATTTCTCATTTTCTATATAGATCACATAATGATATGCGGTTAAAATCAATGATATGGTATAAGTATTTTTTGCAAAG